CTGTAGCAACAAAATCAAAGCACTGTTTGCCCACCTGGTATTCCTAATGAACATACTTTTAATTTAATTCCCTTCTGAATCTTAATTATATTTGTATGGTGAGGTAATTTGCTCAGAATGTCTCTTTCCACCATCATTTTGTGCCTAAGAATGCTACAGATGCAGTGTGGCTGAAGTAGACCACACTCATGGAGGACTTCAAAATACAAGCCTTGAGCTCAAGAGGACCAATATTCTAGAGCTGCAAATTAATTACACAGCACTGCTGCCAGCTCAGGTGAACTCTGCAAATTCTCAGAGGCATCCTTCCTGGAATAAGTAATAAAAAGCAAGTGGTGATTTATCACCCCCTTCTTCATGGGAGAACCAGTGGACAAGTTTCCAGCAGATATGGCATCTTCATGGGTAACTTTTCATTCTCTGATCATCAACAGCAATCAAAGAACCAGCGGACATTCATCACTAGCAACCAACTACTGTGAGTGGTCTCTTAAGAGCTTCATGCACAAGCTATGTTCTCCTCAGTGGAAAAATCCCATTAGTGATTCTTAGTCACATAAGGTAACATAAGTATCTGACCAGTTTGATTTTGTGAGGAATACCAAGATGCAATCATGTCACGGTGCTACAGTCTCGGATTTCCTCTCATCTCTTCAAAACTAAGGCTGCCAGGCAAAATTAGAAATGTGGCCAGTGCAGCATTGTGTTAACTGAGACAGCTCTACCTACCAAAGCACCAATAACTGTGTGCATTAAGCTGATTACCAGTTCTTCCTATCAAGCCAGGCTGGATTCTGCCTTGCAAAGGATTACAAAACTAGCTTCCTTCCTACAAACAGAACATGGCTTGCTGGAAAGTAAAAAGTTTTGCTTCTCAAAGGCAGGGAGAAACTCAGCTTGGACTTCCTAACACGGATTAGAGCTTCAGTGTATCCTGTAGTATAAAAAATGGCTAAGTAATGGGAATGCCACCTGCCCGTGCTATCATCCCAGCAATAATCAGACTTCTATAAGTACTGCCCAGCAGTTATGGAGCCTCCTTGGATTTACTAATTCACTATATGATGCACGATCCTAATGGAGTTCCCCTGTTTCTAGGTGCTATTTTTTCTGATGTAGTTTTCCCTTGTAGTTGTCAGAAAACCAGCCAAAAAGAACCAGGTAGCTCAAACTTCTCAAAGTGGTCCTCTATCTCTAATGTTCCACAGGGACAAGGAGGGATTGATGCCTCTTCTTAGGATTTTTCTACTGAAACTTTGATTTGAATTTATTAGCTCGCCTTATTATTTTCTTCTAAGTCACTGTGTATCAGAAAATATTCTAAGCCAGGGCTCTTTCAAGGGTCTTCAATACTACTGTGATGGTATAAAGTCTTCTTGCTCATATTTTGGCCTCTGTTCTTACAGCTCTTTAGGGCCAAGTCATTCTCTCTCCAAAACTTACAGAATTTCAAGATGGGCAGCGTTTTGTAGTACAGTATTGACTGTTATATATTGCCCTTAAAACACTGAAACTGGTTCTCCCAGAATGCAAATTTTATCCTCTCCTAATTTACGAAGCGTGTTGGATTCAGCATCTGGAACGCCCCTAAACATATTTCTCCAGCAATATTTCCTTAACTTGGTGGCATGATCAGATATGACTCAAATGTGAGTCAGCATGTATGTTCAGGAGATTCTGGCCCACTCCCACCTAGCTAGGTGGAGCAGTACTGGTTAACCAGAGAGCAGGACTGGCAGGAAGACAGAACAGTTACCATATTCTGAGCTGTGCCCTCTAAGATTTTAAGTATCTCTCTGTTGGGTAAACATGCCTTCCTTCCTGGGAACCTTCTTACCTGGGATCTTGAATCATAATGGGTACAAGCTGTGCCTTTTATTTTGGGGCTCGTAGAGGCTTTAAGGATGGGCAGCAGCTCAAGCAGTGTTTCCGTGTGTGCTGACACATACTAAACATGGTAAAAATAACATACATGTGGGCAGCAAAATTCTGAGGAGTTTTCCAGACATGTTTCAGGGATCTCCGTCTTTATCCTAGTGAATCTTTATGTTGACTTCTAGGACCTGCCTCTCTATTTTTTGACCTTTTCTGCTCCTTGACATCTGCTGCCTTTTTAAATACGTTAACATCAAGAATAAATCTAAATAATAATAATAATAAAAGGAATGGCCCAATCAGCTCAGTGCATTCATCCCCACTGAGTGCCTTTACATGGAAGTATCCTGCCTCAGATGTATCTCTTGCCCCTCTTAACCTGCAGATTCCTTTTTGTGTCACTCTTGGCTGTGTCTCTGGACTTGCTTGTGACTTATACTTGAGGTCTCTTTTCTCTGTGATGGAAGTTGCTCAGAACATCATCTCTTGGTTAATCTCACTGTTATTGTTGTTTCCCTTTTTGATTCAGTTACGTGCATAGTACTTGTCCCCCAAATGGCAAGAGCGAGGTAGAATAGAGCAAAGTTACTTTGCATGTTAGACCTTAAGCAGAGGAAGAGATGACTTCAAAAGAGTTCAGCCAAGGCTTCTTTTTGTTACATGGTGTTGCTTATCCAAAACCTCCTTCAAAGATAATAAACAGCTGAAGATTTGCTGTAGTACGTTGTTCTGAGATACGCAGAAATAAAATCTTGTCTGCTTTAACTGGGCATTCAACACTGACTTTAATTCCAAGTACCTATCATCATGTTTCCATCCTTCATTCTCAGGTGCCAGGTGCTTGTCTTTGTCCTTAAATTGGCGTGCTCTCATCATTTGCAAGGTTACAGATTCTCAGAGAATCTAGCGATGGCTTTCTGCATTATCATTAGGAATGGCCAAACTTTAAAAGTTACAGTAACAGGTTCTCAGGTATCCCTGCTCAGGTCCATGTGGTGACTCTTTGGCATTCATGGAAAATGGTAGTATTTGTTTCCCCTCTCAAGCTGAGGATTGATTCTGCCCCTATATACCTAAGCACAAAATACCATAGAGTACAAGCATATCGAGAGCCTCAACCCATTTTGCTAGTTTGTACAGGTATCACCTGCCAGCATTAATGGAAACTTTCCTGTGCTGCTTTGGAGCACTTACTGTAGGTAGGGATACACTATGTTCCATATTTGACTCCATCTTAAAGCATAGACCAGTTACTTAAGGGAATAAAAGAGGAGTACGTCAAACTCTGCTCCATGTCTTAGTGACATGGATACTCAGAGCCTCTGGTTCCTAGTTCTCCAACATGTTGCCAGCTTCCTCTAAGTTGAGCATCCCATATCAACAGTACCATCTTAGCTTGTTACAGTCATATCCTTTTATACAGATTTTTTACTGTTACATAACTATTTTCCTCACTTCCTGATGAAGCACTGAAAATATCAAACTGACAATGAAGTTACATTATTCCACAGTAACTTACAAGGCTTCTTCAGACAGACAGTCAGAGATACACTGCCATTGTCAGCTAGGAAGGATGGAAAATCCTGAAAGGTTCTGAAAAATTTTTTACTTCCTTCAACCAGTTTGGAGGAGCTTTGTGCCTTCTACCAGGAAAGCAGTAACTTGCAGAATAAAGCTCCTGTTGTTAGAAAAGATTATTTGCAAAACTGATAGGAGGAAAGAGTGTGGTACAGAGAAAAGCACTGCTGGAAAGGAGAGATTTGCCCAGCAACACAAAATCAAAATCTCTGCCTGGGCTGTAAGAAACATTCCCATGGGCAGTTCTCCCTTTTTGGCATTCAAGCCAACATTTGCCTGTATATGTGATATGAAAACACAAGCAAACGTGAAAGAGGAGGAGAAAAACAATGAAAGCTGTCCCTACCAAACCAACAAGTTAACCCAAAAGAATATTGCATGATCAGATATAGCTTGGCTTTTTAATTCATCTTATTTGCCTATAACACCAAATTGTCTAATCATCCAAAATACAGAGTTTATTTAGGTAATACAGTGACAGTTTTGTTAGTACAGTGCCCTTGGAGAGCAGAAGCACACTGATTTGGCACTAGAGGTGAATTTTGCCATTGGCAGAGAAGGTCCATCAGTTTCAGTTTTGGTAGCATAGTTAAAGGAAGCAGTGTAAGACAGGCTTGACATGGAGCATATGGCAGAAATTGGAGTCTGGAGGGTTATACTGCCATTGCACCAAAGGATTTCTGATAACATTGCCTTTATTTAATTTTTAATTCTGCTTCTTACACATAAGGGTATTTGCTGCCTTGAGTGTTTTTTAGAATTGCTTTCAGTATTGGAAATGCCCCCAGGAGTTGATCAAGAAGTGTCAGGAAGAGTGTTTGCAGCAACTACACTCTTCCAGGGAGGACTGGGGCTCAGCTCAGGTGAGCTTGGCCTCAAACAACGCATCCAATGGGTGCTGCAGCTTTGCTGAGGTGGGTGAAGGGTAGAGCAAGCTAACCAGCCTTACTAATCTGCTTTTCTAATCAGCTGGCAGTAGGCATTTAGGGTTGACAAGAACTGATTGCACTGTCCCAGACATTTTCTTAGTAAGAACAATGTAATCATCCAGAACTATGTGTAGGGAAATGGGGGTATATAAATAGAGAACTTTGCTTTAGCATTGGGATGTTGTGGATTTAGTTAGACTGATGCACTAGAAGCTGGCTGCTCCCTATGCAGTCATTGCTGGATCTGGGCTGAGGAACTGAATCTAGTCTTGTACCCAACTTGGCTGCGGTGATGCAAGAAACATTTTAACATTATCTATACCTCACCTGCCTGGATTCTGGGATGTCTAGCACTGAGGAAACAACAGGTCAAATTTACATGTGGTGTTAGTGGATGCAGCTCACATTGTTGAATTCAATGGGAGTTGTACCTACTTCTGCCGTGGCCAGCTTTGATCCTGGACATCCTAAGGAATGAGCCCAGCCTCTTGTGCATTACTTTCACACTCCTTTTTGCCCTTTCTGCCATTTTGTTGCTCCTGTTAGCCAAGACCTAGTTTACTAGGGCTCTTGATTGAAGACTTATTACAGCTTATTTCTGTCTGCCTTTCTTTAAAGCCAGCTGAAAATACCCAATGCTCTTCCTCTATGGTAAGACCGAAAATACAGACCACCCTCCTAGCTTCTGTGACACTCTTTCTAACACACTCCTTTATTCTCTTTCCCCTGATCACAAGTTCTCTCTCCAAGCCCAGCCTAGTTATTTGTGCATGAAGCTGCCATGTTGTGTATTGGTGTGAGTCTGGTGTTCACATGAGCTGTGAATATGCTGCACATGTGTATTTCTTGTGCATCCTGAGCTTTCCTTTGGTCAAGTTAACTGTCGTTCTGCCTTCTAATGAATCACTAAGAGAGAACACGACCTGTTCAGATTTCTTGTTAGCCATGAACTACATCACTACCAACGTGATGACTTTGCAATGAGATTTCATGTCCAATTTTACAGACTGGAAAAGGAGTGAGATTCTGAAGCTCCTCTTTGGTGAGGTGTTGCTGCTGTAACGTATGAGTTTATAGTATGTACTATAACCATGCAACGGTGCACATAAATTGTACTGCTTTGGTGTACAAGGAAGTTCCTACACTGCACCAGCAGAGCTTCAGTGACTCCATTCTGTGATTGCCACTCTGGAGTACTTTCCTCCTCTGACAAAGATGTGCCTTCAAAAGTCTGGATGGATGCTAGGAAAGAGTAAGCAAATCTACTCAGACACTTACACGTTAATGTGCAGCCACCTTGTTTCAAAATGGCCTCAATCTCCTGAGGCATCACTGATTAATTTTGGCTGAGTGCTTCGATGTCACTGAGTTACAGAGATCTGTGTCAGGGACGAATTTCACAGAATCACAGAATTGCAGGGTTGGAAGGTACTCAAGCGATCACTGAGTCCAACCCCCTCCTAAAGCAGTGCCCTTTGTTGCACGATAGGTTGCACAGGTAGGGGTCCAGATGGGTCTGGAATATCTCCATAGAAGGAGACTCCACAACCTCTCTGGGCAGCCTGTTCCAGTGCTCTGTCACCCTTACCATAAAGTTCTTCTGTGTTTATTCCACGCTGCCCACTTTTTAGATCTTCTCAACCTTGGGACCTAAGGAGGGCAGGGACAGTTGTCTGCTTTCATCCCCTGTCTCCTCTCAACAAGACAAAGCAGTGTCTGTCTAGGCCCATGTCCTATCATGCTGCCATCCAAAGAGCTAAGCCCAGAAGGAGCAGCAGCAGCAGTTAGGATGAGAAAAACTTTCTTTTTTTTGTCACAACCCCAGCAGTCGTGATGTCCACACTACTTTGGAATTTAAACCTCAATTCTTTTTAGGTGGTACTGGAATTTAGCTCCTTAGGGAAAGTGAAAAGGAGACCATAGGGCTTCTGTAGAACTGGGGGATGTACACAGCCCTACAGCTAGCCCTCTGGGACTGTAGTTCTGAAGTCATTCAATGCCAAGATTTTTGATTTCTTGACAGCTATATTCCCACCTTCACCTCAGAGCCATTCCCTCCAATTCACTGAAGCCCCCGGGCTGTTGCTCAAGTCAGAACACAGGAATGGTGAGATTTAGGGAGCAATCAGCCATTTCCATGGCACAGCCTATTCCCCCCATCTTTTTCACCATGCTACTGTGTGGGCAGCCAGGATCAGCCTTTGCTGCAGACTGGAGGAGGCTGCCCAAAATACCCACTGGTGATTCACATGGATAGACAGACAGACTGCAGCTGTACTGCAGTTCTGAGGCACTGCAGGCACACAGCAACAGACAGGGCTGAGAGGCAGCCAGGTGGATGAAGCCAAACACAAACCAGCATGTCCCAGGTGGGAAACAGAAGATGCTCGCAGCATCTTCATCTGCCCGTCTGGAGTTTTAATCCCAGAAATGCATATACGAGAGGTTTCTGTGCCTCAGGTTTTATCAGAAATAGAGACAGCTGCAGCTTTTGCTGCCCTGTGACAGGAAATCCCAAGGGTCTGTTCTCTCTTGGTTTACACAGTGGTGAGTAGTTAACAGCAAGGGTGATCTGCACTGTTTCTTCCTCCAAAATGTTGCTCTTTTGGTGTTTCGACTCCAACTTTGCAGGATAGGTGTGGACAGAACAGGGGTCTCTGAGCCCTTCATTGCAAGCCAGGTGGCAGGGTGACAGTGTTATCTCTGTATGTGACAGAAGACTATATTCCCACAGTGCTTCTAGTGGAAACCAGGAGCTCTGCAGTCTGCGTGCAGTATTTTAGGGAGTTAATGAGCTGGGAAACATTGCATTGCTGTGCCTTGTGCTAGGCAGCAGGGCCTCCGCAGGTGAGCCTGCTGGCATCTGGGCAGTCAGAAGGAGATTGTCTTCACATGTGTGAAGTCTTAGGAATGTCAGAGTCGGTTACAGGCCCAGGGGAAAATGCTTAGGGACAAAGCAGATGCTGTGAGAAAAAAAAAAAAAAAAAAAAAAAAAAAAAAAAAAAAGGCTATTTAAAAACACTGCACGCTTGAACAGTAGCAGAGAAGTCAAAATAAAACATTAAAAAAAAAAAAAAAAAATAAGGAAGAAAGCAAAAAGGCAGATCGCAGACTGTGGGAAGTACAACAGGGTCATGAGAAATGCACAAGGCCCAAATGCAGAGCAGCGAGTGCAGCTCAGCCCCAGCAGCATGGCCGCAGCAGGGCCACCATTGGTACACGTAGTGCCAGCATCCCGTTCTGGATCTCAGAGCAGACCTGGGACCTGCTGTTTCCCAGCAGAGCAAGTGGCACGTGGCCGGTGCCTAGAGATGCTGACTGAGGGGCTCACTGGGATCAACCATCTGAGACAGGTCCATAGAAGAAGTATCTCTCTTCTCCCATAAAATAGCACAGGAGCATTGCATCCTGGCACTGTTAGAGGGAATGTAATGAGGGGAGCATCATCAGACCCTGATCCTCAAAGTCCAGCCAAGCTGAAAGGAGATTCTGATGGCCTAGGAAGCCTCGTAGATAACCTCACCGGGAGAGAAGGCCCATCCATGGTGTGCAGGGTCACTGCAAGCCCAGGGAGCATTACCAGGATAAGGAACAGTGCAGTGAGCTCTCAGCATAGCGTGCTCTATGGCCCAGGGCCCTTGTTTCTCTCGTGCTGTTGTAACTCCTGCCTCTGTGACAATGGCTTCCAGAACGCAGAGGAAAACTCTCGCATCTCAATCACCTTCTTCCGACTCTTCCGTGTGATGCGTCTTGTGAAGCTCCTGAGCCGAGGGGAGGGCATCCGGACACTGCTTTGGACCTTCATCAAATCCTTCCAGGTACCCCTTCACTTGTTTCTATAGGTCATAGCCCTTCCGTTTTTCTCCCCTTGGCTGCCCCGCAGGATGAGTTTCACCCCCACTGCCTAAGTCAAAGAATGCTCAGCAGAGCAGCACACACAGGCAGCATGCAGCACAAAGGAGCCTCAGGCAAAAGGAGATCACAGTGGATGGCTGCCTGGGTATGAGTTTCATCTTTAAAGCATGAGTAATTGCTTGAGACCCTCCTGAACCTCCTTGATGGTTCTCTTCAACTCAATTACTGTCTGAAACTGTTTGTTTTTTTTTCTTTCTTTCTTTTTTTTTTTTTTTTCTCCCCCAATTTTGGCTGTATTTTATAACTTGTTTTAAGTGGAACTCACAGGGGAAGGCAAGGGTCTCAATTAAATTTCCCTTGAGCCTTGTTTTGAGGATTCCAGTGAATATTAGGGGTGTGGGCCCCATGCTTTCATCCAGAAAGAATTTCACCTTTTCAGCCCTAAACCTTTGGCCTTGGTAACAGTGACAAGTTATTGGATCACTGATGCTTTCACCCTGTAGACAGGTGCATTTCAGTGGTAGGTGAAGTACCAGAGGAGAGAGTGGAGGCAAAAGAGACCAGGCAGGTTAAGAATTGTCACCCCTGGTGATGAAACAAACACCAAGAGAGAGCTTATTGCTAGTAAAAAAGCTTCCAACACAGACTCTAATCTAGCATAGAAAAACATTTGTCAAAGATTAAGCAAGTTCCTGCCTTTTGTGAGTGCTTGATAAGGAGGTAGTGAGCCAGCACAACCTGTCTGATAGTTGGGGCGAAGCTGGAGAAAGCATCAGGTTATTACTTGAGCTACTCCAGTGGGAGCCATTTTGTCTGCATGCACAGGAATGAGGTTCCCTTGGCACCACTCAGTGTCCCTGATGGATGGAACAGTCACACTTTTGCAGTTCCTGGTCCCCCGCCCCTTGCCTCCAAGCTCCTCCAGCTTGCTCTTACCCTGAGCTCAGTGTGCCAGGGCTCTCGGCTGGAGAGGATGACGTGGATGGGAAAGGGAGTGCCTGGTGCTTCAGTGACCTTCAGACCTCTGTGACTGGAGAGTCACTTTTAGACAGAGTTGAAGGGTGATGGGAGAAAGTATCAGGGGAGGTATCTTCCATAGCAGGGGGAAAAAAAAACAAAAAAAAACAAAAAAAACACCCACTGAGCAAGTTTCTTTCTCCTTTAAAGCCCTTAGCTGTTTATAACATAGTATTCTCTGCTTGGAGCTCCTCCTCTTGCAACTACTTTATAGCTAAGAATAGGCCCAGCGCAGAGCTCCCAGCTCAGCCACTCCCACCGCCACAATCTGGGATCCCTGCAGATTTTGTCTGGCACAAGCTCTTCCCCGTGTCCCCACATGCTTCCAGGAAGTGTTGTTGTTCACACAGGGCAGCCTCAAAAGCAGCGAACTCATGCAAGAGTTCAGATCCCATCATGACCACGGTGCACGCTGGGCGTATGATGCCTTATATATAGCCCAGGACACTGGTCAGAGGAGAGCCTGGTGGGAAAATGCTCAGCGGGGTTTCCGCAGGAGAGAGAGCAGCAGAGAGCAGGCTGGTGGGTGGGAGGAGTAGGAAGCGAGAGGGGTGCTGAGGGCAAGGCGAGGCCGTGGGAAGCAGAAGGACAAAGTGGTAAATGCAGGGAAAGACAGAGCTGGAGGAGGACAGAGCCAGGGGAGGGGAATATGGGAGATGGGGAATTCCCATGGGGAGTAATGGACAGAGATGAGAGGGAAGGTGCGTCAGTGGGCTGAGCAGAAAAACATGGAAAAAGGTTAAGGGCCAGGTGGGAAGACGTTCTTCCAAGCCCCATGTGAAAGATGGAACTGATAAGGTTACGCCCATCTGGACACTGACAGACATTTTTCAAAGGTTTAACTTACAGCTATTTTAATATTCAGTTCTCTTTGAGATTACTTTTGCAGGTCTTCATCAAATCCCGATGGCAGTCAGTGAAAATTCCTCAGTTTTTCCTGTAGGATTGAGTCCTACTGAATTGAAGCATAAACTTGAAATGTGTAAATAATTTCATGTTAAAAAATAATAAGAAGAAGAATGTTGTAGATCCGTAAAATGAGGTGTTCAAAATCCTGACCAGGAGCTGTACTGACATTTTAGGATAAATACTACTGCCTGTTGCCTTTGAAGTGAGGTCTGGAAATCTCTGGCCTGAGTACTATATATTTCAAAAGCAATAGGGTAGAAAGTGCCTTCTCAAAGACCCAAGACTGTGAGGGCCTGAGCTGTGTCCTGATTCCTGCTAGCATGGAGGAAACCAAGAGCACTCAACGCTTTGCTGATTGCACAGGCCTCTTCCTTATGAGGCAGCTCTGTGTATCAGGGCTCTGCATTTCCTCTTCAGCAGCAGATCACTGACACGTAGGGCATGGCAGACACCATCACAGACACCTAACACTGAGCCAGGAACAAAGCTCTGGCTGCCTTAGGTACTTAGGATGGGATCGGCCATTGAAGGAGAGACCTTGAAGTTGGGTCTGGGCAGCTGTTGCATTTTTTATTTCACCAGACTGGGTCCTGAAAATAAATAAATAAATAACAGTTAGAGGACATTGCCATTCGGGACGGAAGGATAGCAGTTACAGTAGTTTTCTCCTGCCTGTAGGCAGCTGTGTGGGCTGTTTGTGCCCTGAATTCCCCCACTCAGCCAAGGGCAGGAATAGCTCAAATGGGGCAGAGCTGCAGCGTCCCGGAGAGGGAGCAGAGTCAGAGCCCGGCTGGGCTGGGAGGGAACAAGGGCAGGCAAGTGTGGGCCTGTGTCGGCATCTAGTGGCCACCTGGTGAGTTACAGCCTCTGCCCGGTTTTCCCAAGCCTGTGCTGCAGAGCCCTTCCAGGATGCCAGGCACGGTGGAGACACGTCTCTTTCTTTCTCATTTCTAGGCTCTCCCCTATGTGGCTCTTCTAATAGTGATGTTGTTCTTCATCTACGCCGTGATCGGGATGCAGGTAGGTCATGCTAATGAGCTCAACTGCATCTTTCTCCTCCTCTTAGAAGTGTGAGGACTGACCTGTAAGGTCACTAGGTCCACATGTAGTTGTAGAGGCTTACATGAATGTTTTCCCCAAGCAAGGTAAGAAGGCAGCTAACCTTGATTGGAAAGCATTGTCTGCATGTGCACTTCCAAAAGAAGTAAGTAAACCCGCTCCAGCAAAACCAAAAAAATGACCCAGTTAATGATAAAACACAGTATAAAATCAATAAAAGGAATGTGCCAGCCCTCCACACCACACTCCCAAAGGAATACCCAGAAACTCTGGCAAAGGTGAATTATTGCCTTGCTCATTGGCTCAAAAGAGTTGTTTCAGTGGGCTCGTGGCCATGCTGCTCTGAGCAAACCCCATTTTTCTCTCCCATCACTTTCATGCTGGCCTGATTCTACTGGCTCATAAAGAGCAGCTTTTGATTTACACCCTTGAAGGCAAATATGGGATCAGAACCAATGTACCGACTCTGTGTTTGTGCCAGTTCTTCAGGAAGCTGCATCAATACAATATCCTATTCAGCTTGCAAAATGAACTTGGAACCAGACTGAGCATTCATCTGTGCAAGGAACTGATGTTGCATACAGACCATTGAAGACAGCATGTGATAGAGGCATGGTCTGTGACAGTCCCAGCCTCATTTGCTGTGCTTCTTTTCAAACTAAGCTTCACTTTCCACTTCTGTGTTAATCAAAGATCTCAGACAAGTCGGCCATCTGGGACCAGAGACCATAGCATGAAAAGGCAAGGCATAATTATTTCCAGAGGTCTTTAACCACAACAGGCTTCTTGGTTTCACAATGCACACAGAAGTTGTAACAAAATTCATCTCACCTTTCTGACCTTATTTTAATTTGTTTTCTGTTACTATAATCACATCTTTTCGTAGGCTCCATCCACCCTCCCCCAGTATGAAAAATAAAACCAATCTTACCTTGAATTATCATAGGTTATCTTAATTGCCCCCAGTAATTACAGCTGTCATTTAATATACTAGGCTCATACTTTAAATGTGCTTTTAATGCCTAACTAGCTCAAATGGACAAGATCTTTACAGGATTACCTGTGCTAAACAGAAAATCACTTGAGAGTATTACACTATGCTATGTAGCTACATAAAGCATTAGAAATAGCTTCCCTGCACCTACCCAGATGGGGGCTTATGATGATCATGGCACTGCCAGGGCTAGATAGATTATTCTGTAATTGTATTCCCTCTTTTGTCAGTTACTTCTAAATTGTCTGTTTAATCACTGGCAAACATTCATGCCTCTGTTTTAATCATCTCGGCAGCCTGAAGATCATACATTTCTCTTTCACGTTATCTAGATTACTGGATCGCTTTCTGTCCCCCTACCTTTCAATAGAAAAGAAAGTTCCTCTCTTTTGCCCTCTTTCCTTTTGGCCTGCTGACCTGCTACCATCGTTTTTTGTCATAATGGCATTTCAGACATTTCATGTGCTGTTCTCTTGGACCCTCTGACAAGTAGAGTTCTCTCACACTCAGGGATCCATAGTAGGGAGAATCCTTTTCCACTCCACTGAGCAGCTTCCTTAAAGCCTGCAGGCACCAGATCTGAAGAAAATGTAAGAATTCCCCACCTAAACAAGATCTACCACGTTATCTCAGCTACTCACCTGGCTAGGAGTGTAACAACATTCAAGCCTTGCTATTTGATGTGGACAAGTGGAAAAATACAAATTGATGATGGCAGAGGCAGCCACTGCTATAATGGTGTGGGAGGCACAGGCTGTGGGAGAGGAACCTCTACCTGAAGCTCTTCACAGTTGACCCATGCAAAGCTGCCATGGGAGCAGGTGCTGGTGCATCATGTGTGAGGGAAGCTGCTGGGAAGAGAAGAAAAATCAAGCTTCCAGCATGGGAGGTTCCCTTGCCTACGCTTGCCTGAAACAAAAAATACGGGCTGCTTCAGCTCAAAATGCCTCTGAGCATTTAAGCTGTTCTGCTCCTCCTCAGCACAGCTGGGGCTGTCACTGCCACCCACAGCATAGGGACAGCCGGGGCTGTTCCAGGCCTGCACATCCACCAAGATCCGCTGCAGAAAGGCTGCCATGAGCAGGCCCTCCTCCCTTCTGGTATGGCCCTTCTGTCATTGTCCTTGCACGTCTCAGGATGTTAATTATCAGTGACATGTGCTTGAAAAGGAGCTCCACGTTCTCTCAGGGCTGCTCTGTTCCTGCTGCTCATCTTGGCTATGAGATTGCAGCTCTCAGCCCTTGAGGCCTCTGCCTTGCTGCTATCAATGGGCAATAGTCCTGGCCGACAGTGCTGTGCAGACCTTGTTGCCAAGCAGGATTTGTCAGGTTCTTGGTCCCAGTTCCCACAGGTATAAAAGTGTCAGACTTTCTCAAAGAAGCCTAGAACTGCCCTGCACCAGGGACTTGGCATCTGGCAGTGGGCTCCTAAAAGCTGCACCAAGTGTTGCAGGCTTCATGCTACGGCTGAACAAATGAACTGGTACAGTGATGGTTGGCTGGGCATGGGAGGAAACTGCCAGCCATCCTTTGTGGCTCTAAGGAAAGGGCTGTCAGATCACCGTTACAATTTGGAGCAGCTCAGGTGCAGTGCATGGAGAGCCCCAAGAAGTTTGAAATAGCAAGCAGAGCTTTTTCTTCCGCGCTGACTTGAAATGTTACCATCATCACTTTGTACCTGAGAGCAAGTTCCCTGCAAGGGCTGTAATTCTTCAGTTGCCTTCTCTGCATAAGCATTACTGCTGCAGACCACCTAAAACAGCACACAAGACACTGGTCTGCTTCATTTCTGTCTCAAAGAGCCACTGCTTTCATTTACATCAGGAGGCATTTAAGCTAGATCTTCCCTGTCATACACCTCACATGTGTACCTCTGTTAGGCTTTCCCATTGCTCCATTCCCTTTTTCTCATCTTCACACTGCTGCATTCTGAAGGGTCCTGAGACATCTCCTGGTGACAGGCATGGTTTACCATGAGGGCAGGCATTTAGATAATTTCCAGACTCAACATACTTTACACTGTTTGGGGAAGATGCAAAGCACTTCACAGACTTGGAACTTCAAGGAACTTCCCATATGAGTGCCAGTTTACAGTAGGCCACATATCACCTATTCACTGTATATAAAATAAGGAAGTATATCTTGTTTAATATGAGTGCTATTCTGGTAATTAAGTACAAGCACAAGAAGCAATAGCAAATATGAAAGACCAGCAAAAATGTTTGAGAGAAGGGCAGATTCTGTTAAATGTCAGCTCTCCAGAGTGAGGGGGAGGCCGAGAGCTGCAGGTAACAGGAGGTTTGGGGGTTTTACGAAGCTAACCTTAAAAGACCTTTGCTTTCTGCCAGGTATTTGGTAAAATTGCGCTGAATGATACCACAGAAATCAACCGCAACAACAACTTTCAGACCTTCCCCCAGGCGGTGCTGCTGCTTTTCAGGTGGGTGTCTGACAGCTCTGGATTGTGTCAGTCCAGGAGTGTGATTTCTCTGCTCTTGGGCACAGTTTATCTCCTTCCAACACGTCATGCTCACAAGGTGAGTAGAAGCATGTTGTCCCTTGGCGGGAGAACCTAGGAGCTGTGCCAGATGAAATGACTGCTCTAAGCCTCGTGCCCTGCCACCTGCCACTGGTCAGCACTCAGTGCCCAGGGAGGGAAGCAGCTCCTCCTGCTCAAAAGAATGGCAGACAGCTGTTCAGTTCTCTCACACCATAATACTTATCACAAACTCCTTCTTTCAAATTGAGCCAATATGACTCCAGCTTGTTCTTCTAGCAGGCAAAGGGGGATGAAGCCCCAGGCATGCTTTGGCATGCTGTGTTTGCACATCGTCTGCTCCAGCTGTGGCCAGGTGTGCTAGGCCCAGGGAGGGGTGTTGAAGGTGGGGAGAGGAGGATGGGGAGTTAGTGTAAATGCAACTCTGTCTTTGTTTTCATGGAAGTTTTTCATGTAATACATAGCCGCTGTCACATATATCTCAGCAAAATGTAAAATCCCAGACATTGGCCTCACCTGCTTTGTAGTTGACTTTGGGAGAGCAGGAGAAGGTTGCTAATGTGCAGGTCCCTCCCATATCAAGGGTCACTGCTGTCTTCCCTTACTCTTTGCTGTACCCAGGTGTGCCACCGGTGAGGCCTGGCAGGAAATCATGCTGGCGTGTCTCCCAGACAAGAAGTGCGACCCAGAGTCAGAGCCGGCCAACTCCACTGAAGCTGACCACTCCTGTGGCAGCAGCTTTGCTGTCTTCTACTTCATAAGCTTCTACATGCTCTGTGCCTTCCTGGTGAGTTGGCCAAAGCACTTGTAACTTACCCCAATCAAACTGACCACTGCCTCTCTGAGCTTCAGTGCTGCACAGAAGAAGGATGGCTTCAAAGATGGGAAAATTCCTCGTGGGGTCTTTCCCAGTAGCACTCTTGCCATGACAATTCCTCCTTGGGCTCTGCAGGTTCCACCTCTCCCTACAGCCTGGGGGATGCTCTGCTTGCACTCCAACTCTTTGTGCACAGGAGCCCTCTTCCCTCTACCCCTGTATGAGAAAACCAAATTAGCATGTTGTGGGCTGTGCTGAGGCTAGCAACGCCTCAGCCACACTTCCCACCTTCCCTCCTACCTTCCTTCTGGCTGCCGAGCAGGTTTTTTCTCCCCTGCCAGCAGCAATGACTGTGAGAATACACATACCTCACTTGCATCTGCTCCGTGTTGACAATATGGCATTGCTCAGAGTGACAGCACATGTTCTGCAGCGCGCATCAGTGCGCAAAACTCTCCCAGTGAACAGCAGCAAGATTTTCAAAATGTTGGTCTGGAGCGAAGAGAAAGGAATTTTATCTCAGCCTCACAACCCATAGAGGATAAATTCTAGGTTCTCTACCACTACCCCTAGTGGGCAAAGACACAGGTAAACAAAAAGCCCTCACTGCACGCCCTACAGCACACTTGGGCCTCATCCATCTGCTTGCTGAATGCTGACCAGCTGAGGACTGTCTTGGGTATCTTCCCATTTAAAATGTGGGGCTTACATGCAGGAACAGAGAGAAACCACCCCAAATGACCTCCTAGTTTTACAAGTCCAAAGCTGGACTTTGAATTGAGAATGTGGAAAAGTCTACCTGTTACCTATCTCATACACCAAGTCATCTTTGTTCTTGTTTGCAGATCATCAATCTTTTTGTAGCTGTTATAATGGATAACTTCGATTACCTGACACGGGACTGGTCCATTTTAGGACCACACCACCTAGATGAGTTTAAAAGGATCTGGGCAGAGTATGACCCTGAAGCCAAGTAAGTAACCCAGCCTGGATAGCAGAGCTCTTCAGGAGAACAGGCCCGTTGTTTGCTGTTCTCCAGACACAGTGCAGTAAGTGCAACATCCCCTCCTCAGGAACCCCTTTTTTCTGCAAGAATCTTAAAACAGATCCCTCCTTAAGGTATTGCTGGTAAATCCACAGGCCAGCAATGCAGTGACACACACAAAAATCTATGCATCTGAGCTGTGCCATCACCTGGCAGGACATTGCTTTGCTTTCAGTCAAGGGGAGAAACAGACTGCTGAGTGAGGGGATACTAGAAAACTTCAGAGAAGGTTTGAGAGTTGTTTTACTGTTGCATGTGTTTGGGATATTGAATCCAAGCTATGGCAGTTCTATTTCACTTTCTACTCACAGAAGAACTGCTGTGCTCAGATCTTCACTTTGTCGTGTGTCATATAGGTCCATCAAAACTGGTAGCTCCACGACTGCATTACATGATCTGCAGGGTTGTATCAGCAGACTTGCAGGGATTTAAGGTTACACACGAACAACTCACACGAGAGCTTAACTGACATTCAGTATTACATGCTCTGCTTGACACATGCTTAGGCTTAAAGTGCATTTAGATCCCCGTTGCATAACAATGTAGTTGACAATTGTAATTGCAAAGTCCCTTCCATAATGCAAAATCCATGGAAAGAGATCTTAGCATGAATGAAAAGCAGATCTCTTCAGTTCTGGATGTGGAGACATAGTGTCAAGATTAATCTGGGCTCAAGCTCTGCAATATGTGAGGCAATGTCACATTATCAGAGTGATACTTAAATTGAAACACCTCTTCCCATCCAGGGTAACTGTCCAAAGAGAATTTCAATATTGTAAGGGAGCAAGCACAGCATTCTAATAAATATGCTGTTAGCTTACAAAACAGATGCTACTATTTGTGTTTGTTTGAAGGCAAGACTGCAGCAGCTGAAGCCATATAACAGATAATCCCTCACCAAATAATATCCTGTTCATCACAGTCTATATGTGTGCGCTTTTTAACTCTTCTCCCTCAATGTCCCATGGTTGAACCTCCCCCCCTCCCCACCTCCCTGAGAGAATTCTTCTTTTGAAATACCATTTACAAAACTTAAATCCAACTGCTGCTGTCTCAGTTGAGGCACTTAAGGACTTTGTTTTGCACTGGCCCCAGTGATAGCCCAAGGCATAAACAAACATCAAAAGACAGTGGCTCATGGTATGGGAGGGAAAGCTCAAGAAAAAAAAGAGACCCTCTGCACCTCTGCAACTGCTGTAGCCTTACAGCCAGGAGGCAAATAAGCAGTCATACATTTAGAGCGGGTCAGTGGTGTGAGAACACCGGACTACTTATGCACTAGGGAATTACAGCTTTCAAACCACTGAAGTCAATTCTTACAAGTACTGACTTACATATCACTGGCATCTGTGTGCTCTGTATTGATGGGAGTTTTGAGAGTATTGGGTAAATCCTGAGGAATGCACTGAATACAAGAGGCCTGAAATAACACCTTCAGCTATGTCCAAGTTAGAGTGGGTGGCAGGCCTGGAAAGATCTTGGTGGTACTTCTGGCAGCATCTACATGGGGTTCAGCGAATCATCTGTGGTAAGGATGTGACTCTCAATATGCTTTCTTCCTTAGGGGACGGATCAAGCACTTGGACGTGGTGACATTGCTCCGGCGGATTCAGCCTCCACTGGGCTTCGGGAAGCTTTGCCCTCACCGAGTGGCTTGCAAAGTAAGGCACATGACAGCTTGGAGAAGGCTGGGAGTCACATGCAGTTGTGGTATCAAACACACATGCCAAGGGCAGACTTTCTGTCTCACTCGTTTCTTTGGTTGTGCGACTCCAGATATGGAAAAGATTCTCTCTAGTGAATATTGACGTGTTTATACAAAGGGCAAGGCATATATACAGAAATACCATTACATGAAAGTGGCTTTAGAGCTCAAACAAAATCAACCTCTTAAAGCATGAAGAGCTCAAACCCAAGTCCCTAGTGTTACCTCTTGTCCCAAGGCAGAAGGATGGAGGATCTGGTAAAGGCTACATCTTGCCTCAGATATATGTCCTTGGTCTCTATGAAGTTCATCCTGCAGCTGCAACGGTGTTCAGCACCCAGTCTCTGTCCTACATGGCCTTATCATACCACAAAGTGGGCATAGCCCTGTTTTAAAAAAGAGAAGGAAAACCATGCATCTTTCAGGTTCCGTTAATCCCATTTGTTCTTGCCTGTCACCTATGTCAGTGAAGGCTTCTAACCTTCTGTTTGCATACACTTCCACTGGGCATATATTTAGTGCAGATGAGCCTGTAAGTGCCTCATGGGATATGAAAATTCAAGTTTGCTCAAATGCCTACTGGCCGCTGGGGAAACAAAGGGTAGAAATTGATAGCCACATTGAAGAAAACAGTATCCAGCAGTGGGAGAGAGATCCCAGGGCAAACTCTGAACATAGCTGGGACAAAAGCTGTGTATGACACATACTCCTATGATCATATAACCAAACTCACAGGCCATGGATGCTCAGTTAAGAGGGGTGGCAGACCTGGAGGGTATCATAAGTATGTAAGGAAGAGCAATTCAGTCCATGTCAAAATATGATTGTTCTCTTTCTCCTTATTCCACAGCGCCTTGTCTCCATGAATATGCCATTGAACAGCGATGGAACTGTCATGTTCAATGCCACTCTCTTTGCACTGGTCAGAACTGCACTGAGGATCAAGACGGAAGGTAACAAGCTTGCTGAGCGCAAGGGTAGCTGAGCGATGTACACACCAAAGTGTGCTAAGCTGGAATACAACAACATTTTATGTAAAATGAGCCCAGTTGTTAATATGCACTGCTGGGTAGAAAAAATCAGTGTGAAGATGTTTGAAGGAATAATGCCTTCTAAGAAATATTTCTATCTCAATATTATCTAGAAAGCTAGTGCTTCTATTAACATGAGTTAACATGACATTGCACTGATAGCACTCTTGTAGGCCGAAGGTCAGATGGGAAGCAAACAAACTGTTAAGATATTTTCTTGGACTAGCTGGGGAAAGCAGGCAAAATCTGGGCTCAGCTTGTCCTTTTTATTGCACTCTTATCACCTTCTATAATGAAAGATACTGGTCCTGAGTCAAAACCTGGCTTGGTAGATCAATTAGGTATTCTAAAAGAGCATGTGGTTCTGTCATTCACAGCTAGTCCTTGTCTCAGGAGTAGCTATGTTACATTTCAGGCACAGGAGAGCATAGACACACACAGACACACACAGACACACACACAAAAAAAAAAAAAAAACCTGTAGGATTAAAAAAAATGTTAGTGAGGCTTTGAATCTTGTGCTAAGCAATACTTGGCTGTAGTCAAAGAGGCTCTCCTGAGGAAAAAGCAAACTGCAACCCCAATACAACATCTTGTGTCTTATGAAAAAGAGGCCCAAAGAAAGACATGAATTTTTCGTCTGTCTTAGCCTTAGACTCTCAGGGTCATCATCAGTGAACTCCTGGGAAGCCATCTAACTGCTTGCTTTTTCCTTTGCAGGATCCTGTAAGTGGTTAGGGCAGGAGTCTGGAATTCAGCCTCCTGAGTCATATTTCTGCCTTTGATGCTTTCCAGCTGTTTCATCCTCACCAATGTTATTTAATGTTCATGTCTTCACTGCATCATATTAAGAGAGCTGCTGGTATGCACAGGCTTAGTGTAGCACACTGAGGAGGAGGAGCCTTAGCGCTTGGAGAGTAGGAAGAAAAGTTGGAGGAACAGCACCTTTGGAAAGAAAATACAGTAGTTTAGTCCCTTGTAGTTTATACTTGCAGCAGGGGATTCTGGCTGATGGCAAGCTGAACACAAATCAGCAGCGTGCCCTGGCAGCCAAAAAGGCAAACTGTACCCTGGGATACACCAGGCCCAGCACTGCCACTGGGCAAGGAAAGAGAACAGATCCACGGGGACAGAGGGGCAGCACTGAGCTCTGCAGTGTGTGACAGCGACAGGGCGACAGGGCTCGAGGGAACGGTATGGAGCTGTGTCGGGAGGGCAGCTGGGGATCAGGGACAGAGGTGGTGGGCATGGAACGGGCTGCCTAGGGCAGTGGGCATGGCCCCAGGCTGCTGGAATCTGAGGAGTGTTTGGACACTGCTCTCAGCCAAAGGGTTTGGATTTTGGGTGGTGCTGTGTGGAGCCAGGAACTGGAATCAGTGACCCTTGTGGGTCCCCTCCAACTCAGGATCTTCTATAATGCTACAATTCTATGAGGAAACTACTGGAAAGGGCCACAAGGAGGCTTAGATCTTCACACTTCTAGCTGAATCTTCACCAACAATTATTTGTATTCTTCAAGGAGTAGTTAGTTTCCCATTAACAGACCTCTATTCTCATTATATTTAACCTTCAGCAGATCTCAGAATTTGGAAGTACTGGATGAGATTTTCGCTTTTCAGAACAAAGTAGTGTTGTGGTTCCCTTGTTTCTGGCTTACAGAGATAGTAACACAGTCACCTTCATCCCGAGATGACTGTGCATATTTAGGAAAACAATTTCTCTTTGCAAGGGGACTTCACCAATCATCTGAGAACCTATTTGCCCAAAACTTTCCACCACTTTAAGAGCTCTTCAAGAGCTCCTGAGGTTGCCATGCTAGACGTGTGAAATTGCTCCTCTGCGGGCTCTGGCTTAATTCCTGTCTCTGATGATTTTCACCCTGCAGGTAACCTGGAGCAAGCCAATGAAGAGCTTAGAGCAATAATTAAGAAAATCTGGAAGCGCACCAGTATGAAGTTGCTGGACCAGGTGGTGCCTCCTGCAGGTGGTGAGTGCAGGATGCTGTCCCAGTCTGTGAATGTCTCATTTCCCTACCTGACACGTCCTACTGCACCTCCTGATCATCAGATAGAGTACAGGGGTCAGGCTTTCTTCTACAAACTGTTAATACATGTTTACCTGGCTTGATTGTTCATCAGACTAAGATGTGGTTTTGCCTGTACCAACGTATATATATTGAGCATACATATACATGCTGAAAAATCGAGGGAGGAAGAAGGATGTTTAAATATGAGTTTGAAATTTTCATTCTTTGATGTTGCCCCACTCCAGCTGTAGGCATATGCTCTCTTAGGCATTTCTTAATGCCTTGCTGGGGACAAAGGAAGCAAACAGAAATGAGTAGCTTCAGGGACAACGTGGACTTTATGTGACTGTATAAGAGATAGGGCTTTACAATCAAGCTGAGGATGCAGTCCCTTCTCTTAATTTCTTCACAGTTAGCAAAACTACCTTTACTATGCCTTATAATTCCTGTTTTATTCACATAACTGCTTTCTACTATGATACCTAAGACATATGGACACAGGGACAATTCTCAGCATTCAGAAGTGGTGAAACTGACTGCTGCAGGTCTCTATGCAGCATCCCTGCTGGACTGTAATTAACCAGGACTCTAGGTCCTCCTTTGCTAGGCTTGTTAGAAGCCCAGATGCGTCGGCATCTACTGTGTCCCTTCACTGACCTTCCAGATTTTTCTGGGGACTATCACGTAAAATACCACTTGGCAGCTTGTTAACAGTTGCAACCATGTTTTGAAACCTTGCTCAGCTTCTTCTGAACTCAGCGGACTGTATCTTATAAAAATTTCCAGCAGGTTTGAAGAAAGCAGAAGAGTTGCCTGAATAAAAGCTGGGTGCAAAAATGGCTCATCAACAGCTTGTGTTGAATAAGAATATAGCAAGAACTGAGCAGTGACTGCATTTCTGGGGAGAGGTGATCACTTTGTTGCTCCCACACCCATACTAGACACAACAAGACAGAACTTCAGTGTAGAGAAGAGCCAGATCAGATCTGGGATGGATGGTCAGTCAGATGCTGTTAATTAGAACAGATGTGGAGTACACATTACCCCTGGCTGTCAGAAGAGCATGTGCTGACCCAGACTGGGAGGCTACTGCTACAGCAAGATCGTATGTAATAAGCCAGTACTAGAGACTAGAAAGCTTAGAGGCACTTCTCCATAACAAAAGTACATCCAGAGATGCATAGCAATAGGCATTCTCTGCCAGCTGGGCCAGTCTATCCAAACATCATGTTCTCCTCACCTCTGGATTGCTTACATAAAGCTCTGACTGTGGAGCAGTCCCTTCATTCAGCCCCGTGTACTGGTGCTGTAAGTAGCAAAGAAGTACTGTGGTGCTTAGCGTTTCTGCTTCGAACTGCAAGTCTCACCTTAGAAACACACCATTTAAAATGATATGCTTTCTTTTTCTTTTTTTTTTTTCCCCTGGAAATACCCCTTTCCAGATGATGAGGTGACTGTTGGGAAGTTCTACGCCACTTTCCTGATTCAAGAGTATTTCCGGAAGTTCAAGAAACGCAAAGAGCAGGGCCTGGTGGGCAAGCCTTCCCAGCGCAACGCACTCTCCTTGCAGGTGACAAATGGGCACAGAATGGACAGGGGTGATACGGTTGAGGCATTTGACCCCCCCCTTCCCTATCAGCCCCTGTGGGGGCTGCATTGGGCTATCCCCACTGGAAAAGAGTCACTGTAACAGGGTCAGGTACAGCATGTTGCCAGGAGGCAAAATCAGTTAAGAAGCAAAAGCATACCTGGGTTCCAAGACCATCCAATGGACAAAGCATCATCATACCTCCCTGGAGTGGACTTCAGTTCAGTGAGGGGTTTGAGCACTGTCCAGATTCTGATGTCAGAAGCTTGGCTTTGAAATCCTTATTTAAGCTTCTGATCAAAAAGAAGAGCTGTTCAGAGCTGCCTAAGTACATGGTTCAGCTGGAACTGTGGCTGCTCTAGGGCTTCTGGTAGTGGATCTGAGAAGCCAAAGTTGAAAGCTTGCAGACTTGCTCAGTCAGGCCCATCAATTTATGGCTTTGACATGTTTTGATGAAACCAAGAGACTAGCAAAGAGCATTCCTGGGTTGTATTGCTAAGACTTTCTCCTTCTCTAAATTGGAGATGAAAAAACTGAATTTGTTGATATTTTTCTAGAAGCTGGGCAATGCTATGTCAAGTAGGAAAGCTTCACTGTGCTTAGAAGAAATAGCATTGCTTTTATACCTCATATAACCACTCGGAGATATGAAGCTCTACAGTTTGCTGTTTTGCAGGCTGGTTTGCGCACACTTCACGACATTGGTCCAGAGATCCGACGAGCAATCTCTGGAGACCTGACAGCTGAAGAAGAGCTAGATAAGGCTATGAAAGAAGCTGTTTCTGCTGCCTCTGAAGATGATATCTTCCGGGTAGGTGCTAAACAAATTTACAAGCTGAGCCTAGACCAGTAGCTCAGCTTAAAGAGTTCTGGGTTTTTTTTGCGTGCAGTCTGTATTTCGGCTGACAAGAAGGACTAGTGGAGTCAGGGTGCCAGATCCTACAAATTTTACATGTTTTTATCTCATTTTATTATTATTGGACATTTTCACTGCATTAAATCTAAATAAAATCAGAATGACAATGGCCAAGTATCTGAAAAAACATTTTAAGTTCAGCCACCTTCCTGTCCATATAGCAGCAGCTAGACACACTGCAGCTTTTTATTTAGTCTTCCTTTCAGTGGCACAAGTATTATCCTTTCAAAATGTACCCCAGAGCCCAACAGAAATCCTACAGTCCTGGACAAAATTTCCTGAGCAATTATCTAAATGTTCTCTTTCTTATTTCATTCCCATTCCTTCTAATTGTACCCTCTGGTAATATTTCTTCTCCTTTGGCATGTCTCCTCTTCAAATCATTTACAGAAAGATGCTGTCTGTCCTTCCCATAATTCATCATCCAAACAGTAGATGACTAGCTTATTAAATCTTTCTTCGTTTCTTCCTCCAGGTGATTAATAGCTACTTGTGCTCTTCTCAGATTCCTTCCTATGTCTAGATACTGTTTTGTAACTATACTGTGAAGACCAGAAAGCAGTAACCTCTTTCATGCCACCTACCCAGTCATGCACTCGCAGGGTTGGTGGGAGGTATATGGACACCTTTGTCTCACCTATGCATCTGTACATTTCTTCATGGTCCTATGAAATATCGTTAAAAGGTGACACTTTTACAGCCTGTCTATAGAGGTCTCTGTGACAGAGAAGTCCATGGACTGCATCTTCTGCCATAGAGAGCAGCGTCCATAGTGCCCAAGCTGGTCCTCACATTTTCTTTCCCTCAAAAACAGGCTCAACAGGAAATACCATGTCCCTTGCACACCTTCTTACTGACAAAGGAAAATATTATTTGTTTCTCTAACAGAGAGCCGGAGGCTTGTTTGGAAACCATGTCAGCTATTACCAAAGTGATGGCAGGAGTGCGTTCCCCCAGACATTCACCACCCAGCGACCTTTGCACATCAATAAATCTGGCAACAACCAGGGAGATACCGAGTCTCCATCTCACGAGAAGTTGGTGGACTCCACCTTCACTCCCAGCAGCTACTCATCTTCAGGCTCCAATGCAAACATCAACAATGCCAACAACACTGCCCTGTGCCGCTTCCCAAGCCCACCCAGCTACCCCAGCACTGTCAGCACAGTGGAAGGCCATGGGACTCCATTGTCTCCCACCATACGTGTGCAAGAAGCTCCTTGGAAATTACCATCCAAAAGGTAAGCTTCACAGCACAGAGTGGGCCAATGGACCAGGGGGAGCAACAAGCATGCCAACACCAAAGCACTGCTGCCTAGCTAGAGTCACCCTGCCTATTGCTCTGCCCACAGGCTGGATTGAGCCTTCTGGGTTCTCCACTTGTGCTAAAGCCCACGGTGTAACAGACACACATCCACTGACCGCTGCAAAGCAGCAGCAGCCTCACTGATCAGCACAGTTGATTTCTTCGGGCTTTATCATGAAGAAACTTTTATAAGGACCAAACGTAGCCTTATTTACCCCTTTTTCACCAAAGGGAGTTGTTTTATCAACTGCTAACTGAAAGAAAAAGGAACTACAATGCATCTCTTAATACCCAGTTAGGGAGATCTGTGGAAGTCCATGTTTCTTTATTTAGTGCATCATATCCATAAAGCAGTCACCAAAGATATTCTGTAAGGAGGGAAGCGAGGTTTTTGGAAATGCAATACTGAGTAAAGCACAGAAAATCCCCTTCTTTGGGCATCCATCTACACACAGATGACTAATGCAAAAGAAATGCCCCCTTTTATCAGTGGAGTATTTTTTTTAGTCACTCAGTAAAAACAGGATTGAGCTGAAAATTGTTTTTTTAGACAGAGGGCAATGTGAAAAGGTGGATAGATGCTGAGCCAGAGCAGGACTGAAGATGATAAGATGGAGGAAATTCTGTGGGTGCAGCATTGCTCAAGTAATTACTCAAGTGAAGAACCTAATGGCTTGTCTACATCCTGCCTACCTTATGGAGGCCACAGTGTGTTATCAGCTGCCCCCCACTTGCTGACTTGTATTGATGTGACACTGCTAACATGGTGTTCTTTTCTCTCCTTGCTTCCTTGTGCACCTTCCTTGAATTAGGACGCACTACTACGAAACACTGGGACGGTATGTGTTCTCTCTCATGCTCTAACACACTCTGGGTTTAAGGCCCATTGTTTGTCCCACTGAAAGTTCAAATCCCAATTAATTCTGAATATAAGCTTTTCTTTTTAGAGTCAGTAGGTTGAAAAGGAGTTTTATGGTTTGCCATGACAACTCCAGAAAATACTGCCAATTTAGAGCTTTTCTGCCCACCATAATGTACAGACTTCTTCTAGCTGGTTTCTAAATTTATTTTTTTTTTTTAGAGTTTCTAGCTGGGATCACACACATAGGCACTCTCTGGCCATAGCACACTGCAATACACCCTGCCATGTTCACACAAAAATTTGGTTTGTTTCTAACTAAACAGAGACTGTTGAATAGGGGAAGCTACCCTTTGAACCTTAGCAGTTTTACTTGGTTCCCATCTCACATGGAAGATCACTCCAGCACTGTCCTTCAGACTGTTCTGTACCATGGATATATACTTTGCTCCTAGTGCTTTTTGCTTGAACCAAATGAGAAAATAATGTTTCCTGTGCAGTCCCTGAAAGATGAAAAAAACCTTTACCACACTGCTTTCTTCTGTGAATGCTAGTCAAAACTGACTCTAATATCTGTATGTCAGTACTTCAAAGATTCATGCTAACCTCAGATTTTACTCTACTCCTCAGAAAACAAACTCAGAATGAAGTGAAATATGAGGGCTGAGACTTGAATCAGAGGGACAAGGTGGAGCCAAGCAGGGAGTTAAAGGCTGTTATGCTGAGGAGTTTGAAAATATCAAATGAATTCAGGCAGCTAGTGATGAGAAGAAAGGGAGAAAAGGTGAAAAACACTGGAAGAAATGAGGACCTAAAGAAGAGGCAAAAGGGAGAGATGATGTAGAATGAAGGATTTGAGAGATAGAGACAGTACACCACAGAGCTGAGAAGGTTATTCTGTCATGGAGGCTCCTGTTTGAAGTTCATAACCAAAGCTTTTGCAACAAGATAAAAAGCTGAATTTCCAAGAAGCCATATGAGATTATACTTCAAGTTCACAGCCCTGGAAAAATTTTCAGGGTGATATGCAAGTGTATAGAATACATGTAGTTGCAAATGACAACAAAATGTTTCCAGTATCATTCAGTATTGACCTAAGAAGCTTCCTCTGAAAGAGGGCACAGGCAGTGGTTGTTGCTTTTCTGTTTGTGAACTTTTCAGTTGTATTCAGTGACTGATTTTTCTACCATAGCTCTGAAACACTGTAATAAACTGAGACAGATGGAGCCTGTCATTCTTGTCTCTATAGCAGGTTTTCTTTACCGTCTCTGTATCTTGACTTGTCTTTTTTGCTCATTAGCTCCAGTTCCAGAGACAGCCAGCTGGCAATTGTTTGCCAAGAGGAAGTGTCTCAGGATGAGACTTATGATGAAAATTTGAATGAAGACATTGAGTACTGTAGTGAACCAAGTCTGCTCTCTACTGAAATGTGAGCTTTGCAGCTTTAGTCAAAGTGTTTGGGTGGTTCTTGAATTAAGGGGGAGAGATGGGAAGATGTAACATTTTTCTACAAATTTTTCAGTTTATGGGATAAGGCCAGAAAACTTTAGTCGTGCCATTCAGAATCAGAAAGTTTAAAGGAAAACAAAAAGCAATTCATCCCTGAGAAATAACAAAATAATATTGAAAGAGAGACCTTTTGGATCTTTTGCATGAAATTTTCCTTCTCCTCTGAATGAGACATCTGGATGTGCAGTGCCTCCCCACCATTCACTTCTTTCACCATCCCTGGATGTGTTTAAAAACCGTTTGGATGTGGTGCTCAGGGACGTGATGCAGCGGTGGGTTGTTAGGGTAGTTAGGTTAGGTTGTGGGTGGACTTGGTGATCTTTAAGGTCTTTTCCAACCTGAGCAATTCTGTGATTCTATGATTCTACGATTCTACTGCCTAATGCTCCCACATCTCGTATTTAAAGCATTCCTATCTCACGGTCTCTGTTGCTTCACCTGGACCTGTTAGCTAGCTCACATCCATTTGATAGCATGATCTTCCTGGCTTTCCTGCTGGAAGAGGGGTTATTCTGTCCAATATGAGCTACTTTCCTAGAATCTCTTTGCTCTCCTTTCCAGGCTCGCATACCAAGATGATGAAAACAGACAACTTACTCCACCAGAAAACAACAAAGGAGAGGACACCCGGCACTCTCCAAAGAAAGGGTTTCTGTGCTCCTCAGCACTAGGTAACGTCCCTTCACAACATACCAGCTCTGTTCTCCTCTGCCTTGGCTGAGTTCTTACATCTTGCTGGAGAAATCCCAGCATACATGGGGCTGGGTGTCAGTGTTTGATGCATTTAGATATTGAGACCAGGAATCCCATGGCATGCATGCTGTCCTGATCATGCAGGGGGCTCTATTGACTTTGTGTTCAGTCAGTATATAAACCTGTGGCTGTTTGGACAGTCCATGTGATCTGTTTGATTAAACCTTCTTATGAATTAGAGAAGTTTATTAGAGCTCTGTAGGCTCTCCAAACAATCACTAGATTCACCAAACTAGATTCCAATCACTGGAGTCACCAGATGGACTGGCCTTGAGTATATGGTGTTCTGTTCTGTGTATATTCAGCAGGGAGAAAGAAGAAGTTGTCTCTTTTGTCTGCTACAGGGAAAACAGTGAATTTCAGTTTAAGTTAATACAATTCAAATTTGCTTTGTGCTCTAATTATACCTGAAGGTTTTCGAGTGCTGAGTCTGCAGACTGTGCTCAGGAGAAATCCATGAGCACAAGATTTTATGAAAATAAAAGAAACCTTATAAACTCAAAAAAAAAAAAAAAAAATCTAGAATAAAATGAGATATTCCATGTATAATAGTTTTCAGCCTTTTTCCTGAGTGCTGCTGTGGGAAAAAAAAAGAAAAAAAAAAAAAAAAAAAAAAAAAAAAAAAAGAAAAAAAAGACATTTGGGGAGAATTTAAAAAGAATTCTGCATATAAGATTTTTTTAACATATAAAATAATATCAGACCATGTAGTGTATTGTTTAAAGTGATACTTCACTGAAATCCTCTACTTAACTCCTTTACCAGGAGTTCACTTAACTCCTTCCAGATTGTACAATTGAGAATTTTAAGACCATTTACTTCATTTCAGAACTTAAAATATTTGTCAGTGAGAATTCCTGTGTTTATCTGGAAGGCCAAATTTGTTGCCAGTCCTTGATACAATACTGCATTAACTACATTCTAGTGAAGTGATGCAATACGTTATTACGTTGTCGGTGGGGTTTTTATCAAGAAAGAGAAAACATCTCCATGGCAGCATCAGTTCTCTGTGCTAGAACAGATATTCCCTCCATTCCCCAAGAAGGCTTATTCTCAATATTAAGAATATAGATTCTTACTATTTTCAGACTTGGAATTTTCTTTCCTATGTTACAATGTCAATTATATCAAGAAGTAGACAAAACATTTTAGTGTGCCATGCAGCTTTACCTTAAATAATGGCTTTATTTGCCATTCTTCAGAAGTGCATTTGTATACTTTGTAGTACTTTGAACTGCATAGGGAGCACATTTCTCATAATTACAGAAGTAAAGCTTACTTTTATATCAAGTAAACAATGCAGATATTTTAATAGTTCTTCCCAACATCTTTTATTTTCTTTAAAAAAAAGATTTTTTTCTCTTCCCTTCTTTTTAGTTTACTAAAAGCACCACATCTGTACAAACTTTATTCACCAGTGAATTCAACCACTGAATTAATTCACTTGCACTTGGTCGTGATACAGACACAGCCTCATAAACTGTGGTATGTCTGGCTGCTAAGGGAGATAGGTCACATGCAAGTGGGAGGCCAATGTCACCTGAGCAGCCACACGTCTGCTCCTGAACATTGGGCACAGCCAGGCATAGCGCCAGGACCTCAGTTGCCCTCTCAGCCCTGCCAAGTTTTTTGCCTGAACCAGGAAGATTTGAGAGCACTTTAACTGCTTGGGACAATCATAGAATCATCCAGAATTTTGTCTTGCAACCTGCTTGGAAAATAGTGTTAGTTAGCCCATGTCGCTCGACTGTGTTTTGCAATGATGTCTCAAAAATTAAAATCAGCAAGACAAATACAAGTACCTGGGAAAGGGTAAGGTGTAGAGGGAAAGCAGACAGCTTGATTGTGGGTGTCTTGGCTGTCTCTCCAGAGGGACTGAGGTAAATGAAATTGAACTCAGATTATCCATAGTATAATATGAGTGATGGACACAGTTGTTTGTGATTGGTGTTTCAGGCCGACGAGCATCTTTTCACTTAGAGTGTCTGAAAAGACAGAAAAACCAGGGCGTAGATGTCTCGCAGAAGACAGTTCTGCCTTTACAAATGGTACATCATCAGGTAAGTTTTTCATAACCACAAAGGGTCCAGCAATGCAACTGAGAATCTATCATGTGCAATGCTCTCCCATTGCATCCCAGACAACTTTTAAACACCTTTTGAGATAATTTCTCATCCATATTATAGGTTCAATTTTTAGAAAATGTAGTTGTCATCCCACTCATTTCAGGATTTTTATAATTCCAGGAAAGTGTTACATGGACATATTCTTGAGAGTCATCAGAGTTATCATTACCCGATGTTCATTAAAGAGCACAATAGAAACCTAGCTATCAGATAAAAATAACTACCCAAATTGCACTCTGTTGTGCAGTTGCACTGGCTTGGACAATAGTGCACATATTAATAAAATGTGCCAAGTCTAACTTCATACTAATGAAAACTAGCCAGTAAAGGTAATTAATCATTTAAAAGATAAACAGCATATATGTAATTTATCAGCCTCTTAAGACCTTTATAACTGCATTCAGCAGCCTACCAATCTATGCTTATTAGACGGTTAGCCAGCTGTCATAATCCAGAGTGGGTCTGTGTCTTTTATTCTGATGGCTTCACTGTCACCATAAAAGAAACAGGCGCCAGTGTCAGCACCAGTCCTGCTATGTGAGGCATCCTACTCCACATACTCCCCCAAGGCAAGGCAGAACAGGGGCATAGGAGCAGAAAATGCCACACGGCAGGGAAGGGAGGAGTAAGAAGTCACAAGAGCTGTAGGAGTGAGAGGTGAGTGTACCTGGGATGTTCGATGCTTTATCACTTCCATTCTTGACAGCAGCAGCAGCCAGTTATACTGTAAGGATCAAGCTCCAGAAAGCAGTGGTCTGCAGAAAGCTACAGCTGTGGCAGCACATCTGTTGGGACAGGGTAAAGAGAACAGTTCTCTGCCTTCCCCATAGCAGTATCAGCCCTGCAGACTGAGGGGGCATATGCCTCCTACCCTCTCACCCTGCCCAGCCTGCAGAATCACTTCCTTTCAACCTGTACAAAGAGGATGGAGCTTCTTTGTCCTTCCTCATCCCACCATAGAGTTCCAAACCTAGAGAGACAGAGCTCTACCCACCTCAGCATCCCCCAGGTAGACTACAGGGTCATCATGAAATTGGCATCTGGCTTCCAGCTGGCAACACCCAGCAGTGTTAGTACTTTGCAAAGTCATCTGCCTCCAAAAGTGCTTAAAATGAGAATATGAAGTGGAAATGTTGCCTCTGTTTAGCACAATAGATTCAGTTGTTCCTCAGAGCTTGAAGGAGGATTCTCATGAAATACTGATGTGTAATTATATCTAAATATACATACAGCTGAAAAAGTAATCCCTAAGAGTATTTCAACCTCCTTGGTACCCTACATTTTGGATAAACACCTTGTATGTGTTTCTACTAAGCTGAAAATCTGGTTCTGTTGTTCTGCCTGACAGATCTAGGGCTTTCCTTGAAGTCCCCACAGTGTAAAGAAATGCTGATGCCATCACAGCCTGCAGGCTGTGACTTACATGATTAATTTTTAAGGGCTTTCTTCCTTGATAATATTTGATAGGACTCTGGCACGTAATTCTTGAGAAAATTATGATAAACTTTTTAAGTGACCAATAGTTGACTCTTCTGTTTGTCTGCAACTGAAATCAGCAGCACAGCACACAGCAGTTCACTGGAATTTCAGTGGCAGATCGATTGAGCTTGACTTAACTTCAGATATCTAAAAGTTAGCTGTCCAGTTTAAACCAGTCAGTTTGGTCCCACTGTGGTCAACAGAGAGAAACAGCATCTCCAGAGGGCAAGTGTAATAAGCCTTGTCTAAATCTCATCCTCCAGAGTGCATTGTCAAGCAGGTATCCAAGAGGCAGGAGCTTTCTAGTGTGCCTCTGCCCAATAAGCTTGGACTAAACCCATTGCTTTGAGACAACTGAAGTTGCAGAGACAAACTCCAACCTCATCAAGAGCCACATTTTGTATTTTCTATGTGTTTATTCCTTTGTTCATATTAGACAGCAGTGAGCTGTGTGGCATGAGATGAGCTTCTGATTCTGATGGCATTGCTTATGGAACAGGCAGCATCCACCATGAATAAGGCATCAGATCAGCTCTGTGCAGCAAGGGGCTTTTTGAGAAATTTGTTATCAAAAGGAAATTGAATGACTCAGGGGCTGTGAATGTAATTGTGAGAAGGGCTGGAAGGCTCAAAGTACAATCATCAGATATTGATCCTCCCACCCACAGCAGATGCCTTAAAATCCAGTGGTGGTTTTATAATTGTTGCCATCTGCTGACATACCTAAAATTCACATCTGGTATTCATTCAGGTTCTACAATGGGTGCTTAGAAAAAGCACAGCAATTGGCAGTAAAAGCTAGCAATATGGGTGGTGACAGTGTGGGAAAACGAAGCTCTGTCACAGCCAGTGGAGAAGAGGTGGTGTTTCTGGCAGGGCTGTGGGGCATAGGGCTCATCCCTCCTGTCAGCGTGGTGGGTCCAGGATGAAAGAAGCTCAGCCTTGAGAGCTCAGTCTGGTGCTTGGCACTGGTGCAAGCTACACCACTTAAAGGAAAACTTGCAAAATGAGTTTGGAGAAACATCCCAACCATTGCAAGAGCTGACAGCTATTTCACAAGCCTCATAAAGGTCATTATCATTGGAAAAGATCACTAAGATCATCTGGTCCAAGCCTCAAGACACTCTGGACCCCCTGTGGGTAGTTCCTCCAGCACTCTGCCATCCCAGGCCTGCAGTTTGAGTGAGCCCTCACTCCATGTGTGCCCCCTCTCTCTGCAGGCATTGGCGGTGGCCGGCCTGAGCCCCCTCCTCCAGCGAAGCCATTCCCCCACCACGTTCTCCCGGCTGTGCGCCACACCACCTGCTACACCCTGCAGCCGAGGCTGGCCACAGCAGCCCATCCCGACGCTGCGCCTCGAGGGGGCTGAGTCCAGCGAGAAGCTCAACAGCAGCTTCCCCTCCGTGCACTGCAGCTCCAGGTTCCCCGACAGCTCTGACTGTGGCAGCCCAAGAAGAGCCAGGCCGGTGTCCCTCACCGTCCCCAGCCAGACAGCGGGGAGCAGCAGGCAGTTCCATGGCAGCGCCAGCAGCCTGGTCGAAGCGGTAAGGCCACGGTGGTGTGGGGACATGGGAGGTGTGGAGGCCAATGTAGGAACATGGGCCTTGGGAGGGCACAGCAAAGCCAAAGCCCACCTGAGAGCAGGGGTCAGCAGTATGAATGGGAGGAGAGGGGCCACCATGGCCAGCATGGCTACAGGAAGACGCGGCAGGGGTGCAGTAGGGCTGGCAAATCAACGTGCTAATGTCTGCTTTTGTCTCTGGTTCCCTGCCTCCTCCTGAAGGTATTGATTTCGGAAGGACTGATGCAGTTTGCTCAAGATCCAAAGTTCATTGAGGTCACGACCCAGGAACTCGCTGATGCTTGCGACATGACGATAGAAGAGATGGAAAACGCAGCAGACAACATTCTCAATGGTAACAGCAAGCAGAGCCCCAATGGCAACCTGTTGCCTTTTGTTAACTGCAGGGACGCAGGGCAGGACAGTGCAGGCGAGGAAGAGGAAGAGGTGCAGAACCCGGATTGTAGAAAAAGTCAGGAGGAGCTGAAGGACAGCAGGATTTATATCAGCAGCCTGTAGTTGCCAGGGCTGGAAGCAATGCTGGTTTTTTATTTGTTTCAATGTTCCTAATGGGTTTGTTTCAGAAGTGCCTCACTGTTCTCGTGACCTGGAGTAACCGGAACAGCGTTCTTCATTCATTTCTGTTGGGACGAGTCGCAGAGTTGGGTGGTGGCAGAGAGCTTGTCAGGAGCGGATAGGACCCCGGCACGCGGCCGCCTGGAAAGAGCGCGGCGCCCAGGAGGAGAGCCAGCTCCCTCTTTTTCCAGTCCCTGCACAAGGCACGACGACTGCCTCCCAAGGGCGGCCCAGCCAAACGCGCCTAGCCTCCAGCGGGCATCCTTCAACTTTGCTTGTAAAAATCATTTTGCACATGTTCTGTCCGAGCCTCACCACCCCCAGCCACCCCGGCCCCGCCGCCCGGGCCCGGAGGACGCAGCACCGCCAAAAGGGGAGCGCGGGGACTGCAGTGGCTCCTGCTGTTGGCCAATCAGAGCTCGAGGGTTGCTCACCAGCCAACCCGAGTGCGGGCACGCCACCTGCCGACCAATTGGAGCTCAGACAGCCGGCCCCGCCAGCCAGTGGGAGAGTGGGGAGTGGCCAGGCACGGGTCTCTCCTTGTCCCGCAGTTCGGTGTTTCCTTGAGAGCATGTTGCGGTTTTTATTTTGACTATTTTATTTTTATTATAATTTTTCAGAGGGAGAAGGGAGTGTTTACAAGGTTCTGTAACCACCGACCTTTTTGTTTGGGTTTATTTTCACCTTTGCAGATGTTACGTTGGTTTGACCATTGTTGTATTATTTAAGCCAGGTTCTTTTCTCCATTGGCGTTTGGTAGAAGCATAACGCTGTAGGCGAGTTTTACCGATCACTATGTACACCGAGACTCTGTCATTTGATTTGCAAGCGAGCAGAACCTCCTTTTTTTGTTGTTGTGTTATCATATAATGGCAGTGGGCAGCGCGCTTGGCACAGCCCCACACGTCCCAGGGACCAATGGGGCCGTTGGGATGCAGTGCCAAAGCTAGCACCTGCTGTCGGGAGGGGAATCAGTAACTCTTTGCATCTTCTGTTCCACAAGATATGCAAAAACAATGCAATAATATTAATTTTAAAATACAATCGTGAGTCGTGTTGGCATTAAAACTGTATAGAAAAAAAAAAAAAAAACTAATGGGGTGGGGGGACAACCAAGCAGAAGGCGTTACGCTTCAATATATTCCGTGTGATGTTTTATTGCATTGATGATGTTTCTGTTGAAGAAACCGTTATACTTGAATTCAGGTCAGTTTCGGTATTTTTCAAATATTTTTTTAAAAGGAATTGCAATTGTGCCAAGCAAATATATCAAATCGAATTAAGTTTGTTTAAGAAGAAAAAAAAGAAAAACAGAAAAAAACAGTCACTTCTTGTATATTTTGCTGCATGTCAAGTGAATCATTTCGTATTTGGAATGTGCCAAGCTTTACCTTTGAACTTTTAAGTGCTTTTCTACGTGTGGTCGGGGACAGGGGTACTATTTTTTTTCCATTTTTAATTTGTACAATGAACAAAGTGTACCTGGTGTAAGTGACTATTCTGCAATCCACTGACGGGTCAAACGTTACTGATTTTGCATATCTTGTGTTCATTACCCTTCCTCCTCAGCTCTTTAAACATGCACGATGACTTTGTTGGTAGAGTACCTTTCTTCCCGAGGCCGGGATGTTTTTTCAGGCTTTGTTCTCTTTCCTTTTGCTCAGCCTCTCCGAAGGTCTCTTCCCACGAGAGGGTGGTGAGATCCCCAAGCCCATGTGAAAGATCCATCCTATTTCTTCAGCTGGCACCAGCAATTCAGGGAGGGAGAAAGCACCTGCTTGCAGACTGAGGTTAGATAGTTCATCCTGATCATTGTAACAGGATCTTGGAATAAGCAAATGCAAATGGCAGAATCGTTTGCAAAATAAATGTGCCTAATTCTGGACTGAAAGCACTGGGTGAGGGACAGAGCTCTGGATTGTTGCTTAGGAAAATTGCTGTGGTCTGGTCATGACACGGATGTTTGGTGACTTTTGTGTGTTTCCGTGCACATTCCCAGACCTTAGCATATGGGTCATGCTCCAAGTCACAAAACATCCGATGGCGCAGCATGTCCCAGCCATATTTCCCTGCTGCTGAGTGTGAACCTCTCCTGATTCACCCCACGATGGTACATGGCCTTAACCTGTGGCAGAGGCTGAAAAACCAGGGAGATATTATTAGATTTTATGTGTCTGATTTCTGTCTAGACTGCTGCTGGTTTTCTCCCTTTTCAAGATGTTTCATAAATTTGCAGATGAGTGCTCAGAGGTGTGATCTGACTCAGAGCTAAACTTTCATTCCAGTCTTGAGCTTCACAGATGTTTGAGTACATCATTTATTACGTATTTTTGTAATGCCCTTGGGTTTACTTCTTGACTCTGCTGGGGCCATTAAGCAGAAATAGTGGAAGATATTTTTGAAAGTGCACTTTTTCCTTGTTATTTTGAACTGGCCAGTAGCAGCTCAAGATGCCTTGCCAACAAATTCTTTTAAACTGGGGAAATGTGAACCCACTTAAGCAACCATCTGGCATCAGAGTCCCAATCCAAGTCTTTGGAGAAAGCAACCACCTGAAGTCTGTCAGCCTCATTTTTCCATCCCTCTCGTCTGTACCAAGATTGGCATGTGAGCAGTTCTCCCCTTGTGAGTTTGTTGTTGGTAGCTCTGCAGCGCTCGAAAGCTACTTGAAAGGAAATAATGCTATGCTGGCTGTTTTCTGAAAACGAAAGCAGCAAAGGGGCTCCCTATCTCATTTTCCTCCACTAGAAAGTCCCCCTGGCCCTCCCAGTAAGAGACAGAGGTGCTCCTTGCTCCTGATTAACAAAGTACTGGCCTAGACCAGCGGAGGCAAGAGGCATTATGGATGTCTGCCAGCACTTGTCATCTTTTAGGACTTTTCCTGAAGGGAAGGAGAAAAATGGAAAGGACTGTGCCTTGCACATTGCTGGTGAAGCTGTGGCTCCCCCATGGGTCAAAGCCGACAATAGCCAGGAAATACCCGCAGCCTACTGGAAAATGGCTTAGCTCCTGCAGAGAAGTGCATGGCTAGCAGAGCATGCAGATGCCTTGTGCTGTCTGAGGGGCAGGTGTTCAATATAGGCATTGCTGGTGCCAGCTGTGCAATTTTCTCTTTCTGGAGAGGGTGGCTTTTTTTTGTTTCTTTTTATTTGAGGTACACGCAATGTGCACATTGTGACAGGTCTGAGCAAAGAGCTACTGTGCTCCTTCAGGTGGGGTGGAGTCTGGGGGTGATGGAAGTGGGGCAGGCAAAGTACATGGGAGTCCTTTCTCTCCCAGTGTGTGGGAGTAGATGGTGGGTACAGTCACTGTGCTGTGGATGGAAGCCATGGAGGAACCAATGGCCAAGGAGTGGCATGGAAGGAAGGAAAGAAAGGGGAAAACAATCTGCTGTTTGGCACTAAGCATCTCTGACTTGCAGAAGTACACTGCAGACTAAAGACATTTCTTACAAACAACAAACCTCATCCCTTTACCATTCCTGCTCATTACTCTGGGCAGTACTGATCCAGCCACACCGGGTGCATTTCTTTTTTCTTCCTTATTCTGTGTGGCTGATGTGACAGGGAAGCAAGCGGAACTCGTGGTCCAGAGCTGGAGTTTCACCATCCACAGACCTTTTTTGCATCACCTGTATCTTCAGCTGGACATACGGATGATGACGGCGTGGATGCTGCTGCTACTGCAGGGTCCAGCCTGGTTTGTTACCCTGCCCATTTCACCCAGCACGGAAGGACAGCCGGACAACCAGAGAGGTGCCATGTACAGAACCGCATCTATTTCTGCTTTGTTTTCTGACTCAGAACCCTGCCCCCAGTGACTATGACAACGATGATGAAAACAACAACAACAAAAAAAGGGCAAATGCATTTTTTACATTTCTTGATAATTTCCAAAGCAATGTATCATTGCTTTCTTTAGACTGACGCCAATATAACAGTTGTATGGGTCTCAGCCAGGCTCCTGTGTCTTTTCTGCCTGATAGTTTCAGATTGCTGTATGAAATGTATGCGCGTTTGCACACAGACACAATCGCACAAGGTGACAGCACCACGAGCCCGTGGGGTTGCGGACTTGTGTTGAAGGTGAAGCTGGAGGCCTTGCTTCATACGTCTAGGTGAGAAACCCCAACCCATGGGCCCAGAAAGCTGAAGTGGGGAATCCCCACTGAGTCAGAACTGAGCATCCTATGGTATGGGCCAGTTGAGACTGTCCCAGGATAGGGTGGGAAGAGGAACAGTGAGCGGGAAACAAAGTAAATAGAATCCATTCAGAGGCTTCCGGCAGTGGTGAGATTTTGTAAGTTCCAATAATTAATTTGTAGTATGTACTAAAAATACATATATTCCCGGCCATCAGAAGCCCTGTTCCCATCTTGCTAACACAAGGACAGAGTTCACTAGTGGTCAGGGAGGTTTTACTAATGTAAAAGATGTGGAAAACAGAACTGAGCCTAGAAAGAACTTAATAATATTTTTCCTACATTTCTTCTCCAAAGATTAAGAAATGCAGATTTCAATAGCTGCATAGGATTTCTTTTCTCATCTTTTGAATGTTGCAAAGATATTAAAGTCTCATTCTGGGTTAGAAAGCCCAGGGATCCAAAAGGTTTCCAATGGGGATCTCAGTCTGTGGAGCTTTGCTCTCTCTTGCTTTGTTTCTGGACAGCTGAATTGTGGCCTTGCTGCTCCAGTGCCTGAGAAGGTATGGCTGAAGGCAGAAACACAGCGAAAAGAAATCCTGTACTGAAAACAGACCAAGCTATAACTGCTATCAGAGCAGTAGCATCACACTGGAGTGGAAAAATCCTTTTCTGAAGAGAAATTTAGTGTTCTAGTTCAATCTTCCATCTTTCCCCCACCCTATGCAGGGAACGTGACTTAACTGTTAACACATGATTTTAAAACAGGCCTTTAAGGGCACAGACCTTGATTGAGCTGCCAAAATGTGTGTATCCTCTGCTATCTGAGAAACCCTGCAGTATTCTGCCCAGCCTGCAACAGAAGAAGTTCCAGGAGGGCAAAACATTTCCCCTTGACTGGTGCCATGTCTGCCAGCCCCATGTGTGCTGTGTGGGCCTCAGGCGGCAGGGGACAGTTAGGCAACTTAACCAAGTCCCTTTCTGAAGGGCTAACCAAGCCGAGCAGCACCAACGGCTGAAGTAAGGAGGAAATCTTCTTTAGCATTACCAAGGGCTTAGCAAGGCATGACTGGGAGCCCATCTCCATGCTCCCATGCTGTTCTCCCACCCCACGCCATGCGGCCAAGCCCTGCTCCTATGGCCTGGAGCCCTGGCACCCTGCCCAGCCCTCACCTAGCACAGGCCTAGTGCCTGCACCCCAGGCCCTCGGAGTAGCAGCAAGAGCAGGCATGGTCCCACCACACAGTGCATTTTTTTTTTCTGACAGCGTTCAAATAACCCCTTTCCAAAGCATTTTCCTATTCAAGACAGACCCATGGGCTCAGACACCATTCATTAGCCTCATCATTCTGAGGATAAAATACCTGTTTTTCTGTTTCGTTTTGCATTTTGTCCAGTCAGGCAAAATGCAAACTCTTCCTCAAAAAGGCTGTAATGCCTTTTATTTTCTTATTTTTTTCTAATAGTTTAAGCATCCTAAGCCAGTCCACTCCCATCCTAAGCAGGTAGACTGGTAACCAATACTACCTAAATATCATCAACTTCACGACTGCTCATTGGAGTGATTGGTTCAGGATTATTCAGTCTTGACAATTTGAATGTGGGAAGATTTCAGAGGAGGAGGAGTCAGATTGTAAATATCTCTTTGACAACACTGCTGCATCACACACAAAAACGGGGAGATACTTTTAAAACTGCCTTAAAAATCAATTCCGAATGACGGAGTCTCCCTCCAAACAATTGCCACTTGGTAGACCAAGGGATAAGTCGCTTTGGGTAAATTCTAGCAAGAAGTGGTTGGAATCTGGTCCAGTTTGGGAAGTGTAAATGTAATTTAGGAGCTGATCTCTCTCTCAGTCTGACTTCATATCCACACTAACGACTGAGCACTGCAGGATCAAAACTCCTTAAGGCATGGGGTTGCTGTACCTGGCCTGTATCTGTATGGCGCGGTCTGGCCTGGCAAGGTACTGCATACCTGTGTTTCCCGGTGACTTCAGGGAAGATGGGGTTTCCTCAGCACCTCTTCAGTTCAGGCCCTGGAGCAACATTTCCTGCTCTGATCATCAGCTATAACTGTTGATAAATATAAGTGTTTTGCCTTCATTTGAATTGCCCAGAGCTGTAAAATGACCTCTCTCAAGTATAAACCAGTCAGTCACCTCCTCTCCCACTCTTCCCTGTGCTCTCTGCCCACCCCAGCCCTCCTCTCACCTCCGCCCAAGTCCTTTCCTCTCTCAAGTCTTTACCTCCTTCCACAATTTTATATCTAGTTTTCATGAAGCCACAGAAATGCTTTTGTAAATAATGCTGTACAGTTTGTAACCATCATGTAAGCCTGTCATCAGTGCCAGAGTCCGTCTTGCCCTCTCGCACGTTTTAAAGTCAACAGAGAAAAGTTAGAGTGAATGGCCTGCAAGCGAGCTATAGGGTCATCTCTGTGTGGGACAAATGTATATTCCTGTAAGATTGCATTTTTATCTAAGGAATGATGTTATTTTAAAATTGCTAATAAATTTCTAAACAATGTCCAGATTTGTTTAATATCGTAAATGTTACAAGAACTGCTTTGACATTGCTCCCTTTGCTCAGCAGTGGCTGCAAACTACGAGGGCATCCTGCAGCCCCTTATTTCCCACTGGCAGTCCCCTCTAGGTTTGTGGAGTCTCTCATGTGCATAAGGGGCTGCAGAACAGCATGGGATAGTAACAGGCTGTCCTGTTAAACGTTAACTTAGAAAACCCTGTCACTTGTGTACTGTTATCATACAGAAATGCTACCTTGTAATGATGCCCAAGGTATGACTCACTCATAACCAAATAGTTACCATTTTCTCCACAGGATTCTCTTTTATTAAGTGTATGCATCAAAAGAGGAATGCCTGCAGCCTAAACACCGTGTAATTAGTCTCTACGTAAGCCATGAAGCTAATGGGACGATAATAAGTAACGCATTACACATTTACTTTTCAATCAAACAAATTTGTTCTAACAACACAGTTATCAAGCCATTATGTTGTAATGCCAGCTGAGTGCTGCACAGAGTGCCACAAAGTGCTTAGCCAAAATATGTTGGCGTAAGATCAAGCGCAAGAAAAAAGCATGCTTTTTTTATTTTATTATGTGTATATTTACATTCCCCAACTTGCACACAAAGGCCGGAAGCTCAAGGTTTGTTGTTAGGTAGTGGTGTCACACACCGGTTGGAGCCAGGAGGTGATCTCAAGCCATGGATGCCACCACCAGCATGAAGAGCTGGAGGACAGGACAGGACCACCAGAGCTCCCATGCCTCCAGGCTCAGGCTTTTGAGCAGTCTTTTGTCACTACAAGCCCAAGGATGCACCATGCCCTTGGGTTGATGGTTGGACTGGATGATCTTAGTGGCCTCTTCCAACCTTAATGATTCTGTGATTCTATGCCCTCGGCGGTTGGTGGAGCAAGGCGTGCAGCTCCTCTCTGCTGCCGGCTCACAGCGCCTGGGCTTTGTGTAAGAGCCACGTGGAGACTTGGTGGTGAAAGCCACTTGTGGGTGTACCGCAGAGCAAAGAAAGGTGTGAAACTGGGTGAAACCCGTGAGACCGCCGGCAGCAAGCATTGCACAGCTTCCTTTGAGCCGACTGCACGCAGAACTGCCCAGAACACTTGAGTATACAACCCTGTGTCGGAATGCTGCCTATAACTACGACACTTTTATCGGCGCACGCTTTGCTCACGACGTTCTCCTGAAGCTGGAGGACGGCACCCCACAGGCAACCCCCGCAGCCCCGTCCCGCAGGCCTCAGCGCAGCGAGCAACCCTCCGCCCCGCCCTCCCCTGGGCCGCACCCCCAGCGAGCAGCGCTGAGTCCCGGCCGCACCCAGCGTCCCGCCCCGCCGCGCAGCCCCTCCTCAGGTGCGGGTCGGCCCCGCCCGGCGCTCAGGTCGGAGCCCGGAAGCCCCGAGGTCGTGGCGGCGGCAGGGCTATGGCGGGCGCGGGCCGGCCGGGCTTGTCTCCTCCGCTGCTGTTCCTTCTCGTCCTTCCCGTGCTGCCAGCGGCCGCCGCGTTGCGCTTGCTGCTCGGCGCCGCGCCGCCCTTCACGTGCTCGCAGCCGGTAAGCGCCGGGGAGGGATCGTGGGGAGCTCCGGGTCATCTCGGGCCCGGGGAGCGTGGGGCTGTCGGGGCCCTCTCCGAGAGGCAGAGTGCTGCCGCTCCGAGCCCGGGGCCGGGCCTCTCCTGTGCCGGGCACTGCGGCCTCCCGCTCCCGGCCTGCTGGGAGGGACGGGGACGCAGCGCTGGGGAAGCGGCTGCTCGGGTGTAGCTGTATTCCTTTGCTGCGGGGTGGTGCGGCTATGAATGGGTCTGTGAGCGGTTTGCTTCTTGTAGTGCAGTCCGTCTTCTGCTTCCTGGAAGGGCTGTGTGCTCCCAGCTCTCGTGAGAAAGGAATTTCCCTCTGTGTGTGACATCAGGGTACGTGTGGTCAGCGGCGTGGAGAGAGACAAGTCCCATCTGCTCAGTGGCAGGCTGTTTCAGAGCCTTGTGCACGCATCACTGAGTGAAGCCTGCAGCACAGTATCCATCATGTCGTGTAGAAATATTTTCCTGTCCCGCCCGCGTCAGACCGACGTGCTGAGTGCTGGGCTGACAGACATGTCCTGTACTCCTGGTGCCATCTGCCTGGCCTCCCAGGAAGCCAGGGCCCCTCCTAAAATGTGACACTCTTCATCTGTAACCTTCTCCTATATTCATTTTCTGTCTTTTGTCTACTCAGTCCTTTCCTGAAGTTTGGTCACACTCTTGTTCCCATGTTACCTGACCTCTCCTCTGCTGCTTTATGCTCCTGTGTGAAAATAGCCCCTTAAAAGCAGTTTCCACATTTTTACTTTGGGCTGGATGTTGTGAAATTACAAAGTGAAAGCTCTTGGAAAAGGCAAAGAGCACATTACAAAACTGCGTGGGCATCCCAAACACCATTAGTCACACAGAGCTTGAAAGCAGCGCAGTGTGGAGTTTCTGCAGTCCTTGATGTTTGAACTGACCATCTCCCTGGCTCTCAGTTTCTTTCTTTTAAAGGGAAGACAGACCACTGAGCGCAGTGAGGGACTCCCCAGCGCAGCTCCAGCTTTCAGAGAGGAGCTGGCTTAAAAAACAAACCTGAGAGCAGCTCTGCTGAAGGGAACAGTACTGCTGCTGACACACACATGCAGAAGTGCGACTGACTGAGGCTGCGGCAGTTGGTAGCCGTTTCCCTTTTCTGTCGGTTGCAGGGAGCCCCTCCTGTGGTGTCAGAGTTGGGCTGGGTGCTGAGACCACATCCTCCTGCTCACCCGCTGCTGCCAGGCGTTGAGGAAGGGCAGAGTGAGCAGCAGCGGATTTCCAGCAAGAGGCAGAGGAGTGAAAGTGTCACAGTATCACAGTATCAGTATCACAGACACCTTTAATTGTAACAGAAGTAAAATAAATGCTCAGTAGCATGAGCCCCGCGTATTAAAGTGTCAACAAATGCACTTAATGTTCCTTGTTCGCCACTGCTCCATCCGGCCAGTCTGGCTGTAGACTAAGCAGCAGGGCTGCAAGCAGCTCCTTCCAGTAACTGTTACTGGAACGTGTCATCTCCAGGGAGGTGGTGCTGGCTTTCCTCCCCAGGCACAAACACATTCCATCTGGCTGTTCTTCTTGAGTGCCCGTCGTGAGGCACTGTACCTGGTGTCAGCGGGATGTGAGGTTTGTGATAGGTGTTGCCTAGTTGGGTCATGGGAGTTACTGTTGTTGGTTCAATGATATTCACTAAGTCTCCAGAGAAGAGTGATGGTGATGCATGTGAGGAAGCCTTTACTTGTGCCTCTTTTACAAGCATGTTCACTTTGCTTTTGCTATTGACCTTCTATTGCTTTCTGCAAGAGTTTGCTGTGTAGGATGGAACCACTGACCTTGTTCACAATTAGAGCTGCTAAGATAGTTCTGGATTACATAGCCTAAAAAGGATCAGTGATCAAAGCTACCAAAACATGATATAAGAATACACTCAAAGTAATTTTAACAAAGTAACTTCAGCTTTTGAAGTTGGATTCTATTTTGCTTAGGATTTGTAGAAGAGAACATTTTTCTCTATAGCTTCTAAATTAAAACGCATACAATTTGTAGAAAATAGTTTTCCATAAGCCTTAAATGAAGTTTTGCTTTTATGTGTTCACGTCCTATTGATCTCTGCTGCTTTGAACGGACAAATCAGGAAAGGGAAACTGTAGAAGACTTTGTATCAGAGAGGCAGCATGGCCTGGAGGTGAGAGGCAGATCTGGAGAGCTGGAGCTCTTTCCACTCAGCAGTTGCTCTTCAAGATAAAATTGGCTGCCTGCCCAGCTTACTTCAGTTTCTTGCTAGTTACCACAGCATCCTGCCGGGAAATCTTGGCCTCCAATTATTTCAGTTGAATTGTTATGACGTGCTGCTGTTATGCAGTTTCTCATATGTTTCAGATTCATGTGATTCTCCTTGGCATATGGTTTGTTCTTCTCTGATGTCAAAAGGAAGAAAAAGGCTTGAAAAAGTAAAAGAAACAGTTGTTTGGCTTTCTGTCAAATATGGCAAGTAAAACAGGAGGAGTTGGCCGTGCCTGTGCTCCTCTGCCAGAAGGTTCCAGGCAGCACGTGTCCCTGTAGCTTCGCTTCTTCGTCTTGAGACACAATAGGAAGTATGGGAGAACATCTCAGTTAAAGCCTCTTCTGTACCAGCACACACACAGCACCCTGCCTGGCTGCAGGCTCCGTCTCCAGATTTGTGCAGAGCTCTGCATTTGTTCTGCCATCTCCTCCCATTTGCTTGCTTGTCTATCCTGTGCAGCCTGACATGTATAGGCTCTGTCAACGCTTCTAGTTGTGTGTGGGCGAGCAGAAGCAACCATCACTGTAATTGTATTTCTGTTGTATGATCTGAACTTGTGTTTGCTCATGGAGGGAAACTAGGTTAATTGTTTCTGCTGACTGCAGCTTTGCTAATGCAGTCTGAATGAGCAACTGCATCAGATAAGGCTGAAAATCAGCAGTATTCCCCTCCAGTGCTGAAGAGGTAGCTCATGCAATTCTAGAGGTAATTAACTTGTTTTACTGCAAAACTGACTTATTTTTGTCTTTAATTGCCTCCTGGTTTTTAGCTGTCATTCTCCGGAGTTACGTTCTTTTGGTGTAAAGTTGAGTCAGCATTGTGGCTTCATCTCCTGTTGGTTTCCAGTGGCCAACAGTAAGGATATGCTGACTGGATTGATTCTTCTTCTGGGTGTTCGGGGCTGTTGGGTCATCCCTGTACTGCCTTGGGGCTGGGAAAGGAGTGGGCCAGTGCAGGCTGCCCTCTGGATAGAGGGTCCTTCCCTTCTGGTGGCAACCTTATTAAATTCTTAACTACTAACAACATAGTAAACCATCGTGGTTGGTGCGTATGGGGTGGGAAAACACTCTGATAGCTTCTTGAACAGGACAAGGGAGAGCAGTTTCAAACTACAAGATGGGAGATTTAAACTGGATATAAGATTATATATATATATTTTTTAATGATAAGGGCAGTGAGGCTCTGGAATGGCTTGCGCAGAGAGGTGGTGGATGCCCCATCTTTGGAGACACGCAAGGTCAGGCTGGACAGGGCTCTGAGCAACCTGATCTACCTTGGGTGTCCCTGTTCATTGCAGGGGGATTGGACTAGACGGCCTTTAAAGGTCCCTTCCAATCAGACAATATGAAAAATCATTAGGTGGGTCTAGGGCATGGTGACACCTTGTTGTTTGTCTCAGTAGAAAATCAGTGCTGAAAGTTTAAGCCATCTTAATTGTCAGACTTCAGTTCTGAATTATCGTTAACTGACTGAGTGTTCCGTGTTCAGCTGTTCTTTTTCAGAGAACACCAGAAAGGGAGGAGTCTCATCCTGGAAATGCTTCACTCAGGGCAGTATAACTGGAGGAAGAGAGTCCACTGATCTGTTGCGCTGGTTCAATGTTCACACTGATAATGAAACAAAACAAATTGCAACTGTTGCTTGGTTAATTGTCTTATCTGCTGATAAACAGAAGCACCAACATGCAGATAAAAGCAGATGGTGGTGCTCTTCAAGCAAATAATGCATTATAATTTATATAAGGACTGTATCATGGGGCAGTTTACAGTAAGTACTGATAACTGAAACAACAGGAGGACAAAATGACTAATAATTGATAGCTTTTAACAAAAGTAATTAGGTTACAAACCAAACCCGTGGATTGTATCCCGTTATTTTTGTTGCTCTGCTCAGCCCACCCCTCTGCTCACTTGCTCCTCTTAGCCACCTGGGGAGAGCCAGAGGGTCACAGAAAGGAGACTTGTGGGTCAAGCACACAGTTGTAAGGAGCTGCATATAGAGGAGCGAGGAGGTGCCTCAGTGCTGCACGAGCACTGCTTGGCTGTGGTAACTGGCTCTACTGCCATCACAGATTCCAAATGCAGCTGCTGTAAGAAGGATTGACTCCATCCCAGCCAAAACCAGTGCATCTGTTTATACAAATGGTACTGTCACTTTGAATAATTTACTTAATATACATCTTTCTGTGAAGGTAGCATGGATAATTTTGTCACGGTTCACCAGCATTTGCTTGCTTGCACTCAACGTTGTTTCCATTGCCAAATGTTTCCATTGCAGATGTTACATGAGAGTCTTCCAGTAGCTGAAAAAAGAAGCCAAAAACTATAGCTGATTTCAGAGATACAAAGTTGTGATAACATTTCTATTAAATATACACACCATTTTTAAGTACAAAAAGATATAAACAGTGGAGGATTTATCTGCAGTAGTTAAGTGTGGTGTAGCTGTAGGAGTAGTAGTTCAGACTAAGTTGCTATCTGATATTCAGATTATCAGGGTATTTCCTCCAGTTGTGGCTGTTCTGACCTTTATAGTCAAGTTCCTCCTGCCCATTTTTCGCGTTGACATTAAACATATTGATTTATTTTGCTCCCAGTTACAGTACAGATCTGTTGCCCAAAGCAGGGCACTGCTGTGTGCCTCTTGGTGCCACCTGTCCCAAGGCCCCATCTTGCAATGAGAAAAACCCCAGCCTGGGGCTGGGGTTGTCCCAGTGAGCTCTGAACCACTAGTCCAGAGCTGAAACAGTGCAGGAGAAGGTAAGGGTTCTGCCTGCATAGATTTATATTTAAATATGCAAGGTGGCCGATTGGGCAGATTTCTTCCTTGTGATTGAAATGAAATGATGGTTTTCTGAGCAGTAATGAAGTTGATCAGTACTACGTAACATAAATATTGCACTGAACCTTTCTCAGTGTATCTGTATTAGTGTATTGAAATAGTCTTCAAGCACTTGAGACAAGTGTTTTTATACTGCCACTATTTATTGCAGTGTGGATGTGTTACTTGTGACGGAAGCTTGAAGATTTACACCTTGGTATTGTTTCCACTTGCATAAAAGCCTGGAAGAGATGTTCAGTTTGGTTGGTTGGTGGTGGTGGTTTTGTTGGTTTGTTGTTTGTTTTTTAAGCACAAGGACCTTAATGCTGAATCTGCTTGCTTTTTGCTCAAGGTTTGAAAGAGCATAGTTGTGCTTGCTGAAATATGACCACTGATGACATGTGTGCTTTTCCTTAGCTAGCAGAGCTGTGTTCCCATTTGAAATAACCAAGTGGTTAGTGTCAGTGTGGTCAGTGTGGCTGGTGTGATGTCTGACTGTACCTGCAAGCCAAGCCCCAAGCACACCTTGTATTGGCCATAACAAGCTGCACAGAGCTCAGAAGCAACACTGCCTTGTCTCATGTCATGACCACAGTGCATTGACAGCATCCCCCTTCCTTTGAGGCAAAGGAAGAGAGTGGGAGGAAAGCTTGCCTTCATCTTGATCTGTGTAGTCGGCAAAAACTTTTCTTATCACTAGGATCACATTACCAAGCTACTTCTCATGCTTTTTTCCTACTGATGGTGGGATCTGCCAGCATAAGCAAAACACATGTGGGGAAAAAAAAACATGTGGAGAAACCAAGCAGAGCCCCCATCATCTCCACATGAATGTGCAAGGCACGCGTCGGGTCATTGGGCAGTGGCTAAACCCAAACCCGAGCTTTGCTTTTCTGCAGAACAACTTTATGTGGATATGTGATGGCTGATTCTGCCAGCTTGTATGCCTTGCTATTCACTAAATTGCTTTCCTCCCGCTACCACAGAGAAGCAAACTATTTTCAATTCAGTTTCTATTTAATGAGTAATATGCTTTTTCTTTTTCCTTCCCCCAACAGGACTTAAAGTGCCTCGTAGGAAATAGTAAGTCATGTTTTTCTTCATTGCCACATTCTCATCAGATCAACCCTTTGTTTTTTTTAACTGGCTTCATACAGAAAGTCCTTCCTGCTGGAGTCAAAGAGATGTGAAGCAAAGTATTGCTTGGGGAGTCTTCAGTTTGATCCATGATCAATTCCAGCTAAAAGACAAATGGAAAATTGTCTCTTTCCCAGGGGAGAGTTGGAGTGTGGGAAAAAGCACGCAACCCAACTTGTTTAGTTTATTTTTAAATCCAAGAGAGCCCATTTTTAAAGAAATGGAATTTGAGGACAAGTTTTTCAGTACATGTTCATTTCAAACTACTACTTGTGTGATAGTGCCCAATGGAAAACTATTGAGCTAAATTTTTTTTTTAAAGGGAGCATGAAGATTTACAGCTGAGTGTAAGGAGTGTATATTACTGGGTATGAACTGGAAAAGGAAACTGAAGTTATTGTAGGTCACAGACTCTAAACATTTTTTGCCAAGAAAAGGGGCTGGGTGGGATGGGATTGGATCATATTTCCCATTGGCAGCTGGGCATTGCTGTGTTTCCAGGCTGTACTGTAAAGCCAAACTGCAGCTCCACCATTAGAATTCTCCCTTGATTGAATTTGGTTTAAATTCTGGCTCTTGCCACCATCACAGATCTATTTAAAACATTTGAGCAGTAACAACTTCCCTCTTGGAGCTCTTCCTTGACTTGACAGCCTGGTTCTTCCTGTGTTGGTGCTTTACTCATACTCAGCAAAGCTATTTTTAACGTGCCCAGATGATCCACTTTTGTCCAACATTTCACTTATCGTATCCATCTAATGCCTGTCATACTTGATAACACTTTCTGATGGGATTACAGGCCCTGTTTTCCCTAACATTCTATTGACTGACATAAATTATTTTTCTGTCCAGAGGGCTCATTCCTTTAGGAAAGGCAGTGCAAGACCAGTCACTGGACGCTGAAGTCAGATGTGTATTCAAATGAGAAATAAGGCAGTTGTTCCAAAAGTTAATTACACTGTTTAAAGAACTGCTTGAGTACCTGACGTTATCACTGGAAAGCTTGAAATGAGTGCTGATGTTCTAGCACAGTTCTGTTTCAGCAGCAAGATAAGAGCTTGCTGTGGGAGGTACTGAGTAAAGCTACCTGACCCAACGAGGCTAGCTGTGATCATCTATTAATGGATTCCAAGGAAAAGAGGAAATACAAGTTACCAGAATGCCTGAGTTGAGAATATTACAGGCAATTTATAAATTATTGACGTGCTGAAAGCTGCCTTTTTGAACGGTGAAGCAATCTATTACTCAGATTTGCCCTCTGAGTAACCCTCACCCAGGCAGCAACTGCAGTTAAGCAGACTTTAATCCATCCTCCTCTGGATAATGGCTTTTATTTGCTGGGCAGGTACCTGCATAGAGAGGAGCTGGCTGCAGAATCAGACGTGGACACCCTCTGCTCCCAGTAGCCTTGATGTGTTCTCTGATGTTTTCCGTCAGACAGATGGAGAGCTGCTCCCAGTGCTTCGGATAGAGTGGAAGGTGGCCACCGATGGTAAGCAGAACAGAGGAATGAGGTGTGGTCTAGGAAGGATAGGGAGGAGAATCATGACTTGAAGACTTTTACTGATTGAGCTGTGGAAGGACAGCTTGAAATCTGGGCTTTTGCTGCTTTGCTTTGCATTTGCTTGAGGGGTAGGTTTGTTTTTTCTTGAGGAATGAATCAGGATTTGGCGTATGCTGGGGATTCAGAAGTTTAAAACACTCCCATTAGCATGGATAATGGCACTTAAAATGGGAAAAGCAGATGAAACCTAACCCAAGAGTGACACGTACCATTACCACCATAGCAAGGAGGAAGAAGAAGACTTGTGCTACGAGCTTTGCAATAGTACTGACTGCTGCAGTCTTATGCAGGAGAATTACATCTGCAAACTGAACAAATGAGAGTCAATTTGAGAGCATGCAAATATTCATGTGCTGTTAACCCAGTGCAAATACCTCTTATTTAGGGTAATCTAGTTGTTGTAACTTAAATTTCCCATATGCACATCTGTCTTGGTAAAGAAATAATTGACTTATTAGAGTCTTAACGAGTACCAGTTAGTCAGGTTTTCTTACTGTCCAAATATCTAATGGATTTTTTGTTTATATATGATGTTCTGCTTATGTGCTCTCATTCCTATTTTTGCAGTTATTCAAGATAGGAAACAAACATGCTTAATTCTGCTTTTGCAGGATCTGTGTCTGAGGGTAGTATAGAGCTGTTACCTCAGCATAGCTAAGAAGCAGGTGTGCCTCAGGTAACCCAAAATCACAGAATCACCAAGGTTGGAAAAGACCTTCAAGATCATCCAGTCCTACCATCCACTTACCACCAGTAGTACTCACTAAAGCACGTCCCTCAACACAAAATCCAAACGTTCCTTGAACACCTCCAGGGTCAGTGACTCCACCATCTCCCTGTGCAGCCCATTCCAGTGCTTGAACCCAATCACTTGGTGCAGCCATTGTTATGAACTTGCTCACTGGGATTGTTTATATCAAATAAAGCAAGATTTGCTTTGGTACCAAAACCACATAAAGCAGTATTGAAAGGCAGAGTTAAATACATCACCAAACAAGCCGAGAATTTCCAGGGTGCCTAGAGGATGCAATTGCCTGCTGCTCTGCCCCTTCATCAGCATGGATGGAGCTCTTGCTCTGCAGGACAACCTGTAAGCTAGTAATGGTGTTAGTCAGCCCTGCACACTTGGTTTTTAATAGCCAGTTACCTCTGTGCTGAGATCTCCAGCAGCTCAAAGGAATAAGGCTGCAACAAGTCCAGGCATAGTGATAATCTCTGTGGGGTTGCAGCCTTTGCACGTGCAGCTGACAGGAAAGGGAAAACACGTCTCTGTCTGTGTGCCTGCAGCTAGCATCCGCTATCTCCGAGGGGCAGAGCTGGCTGTGATGCAAGTGAGCAGCAATCAACAGATCTGTGCCCAGTTTGAATTTCAGAACAACTTGCCTCTTCAGGTCCGCCCAGATGGAGGCCGGGTGAGTGCTAAGGGCCCTGAACTACCATGGGTTTGGTTCCGCTTTTCTTATCTTGTAGCAAGGCTACCTTTTTTTTTTTTTTTTTCCTCTTTATGTACAGACTGGTTAGTCAGAAGAGTTGGCATAACAATCAAGATATTGGGTCTGAGGTCTGGTGTCATACCCATTTTGTTCTACACTTGCATGTATCCATCTACAAGCTGCTCTACTTAGTTTCCCTTTCGCTTTTACTGTTCTCTCAGTTTAAATAGTCGCTCTCAGTCCCTACCACATGTCACTGTTTTGGATGTTGCTTAAAGCAAACAGTTGTGGGAGTTTTTGCATTCTGTTTGGCCATTGTGACTCAGCCTCCTTTCAAACTCAGCCTTTCTTTTTAAGTCAAGTTCTCTCTTGTACTCTCTTGATGGAGAGGAAAGCACCAACCTGGTCCTTCCAACTTGTGCTTGATTTAGGGAGCTCATCAGAAAATCACTGAGCACCCCACATCTCCTTACTGGAGAGGAGGATTTTGGAGTTTGTTCCCTATCACCCAGAACTGGGCCAAAGTTCATTTACCAACTGAAGCCATTCCCTCTTCCAGAAGTTGAATAACTTTACTGATACGTGGAAAACAGCATAAACTTAGTATGTGTGTATATATATGTAAAATGGCCAAGTACAGAACTCCACACAATTGTTTCACAGATGTGAGATCATTGTATCAGCTCAGAGATTCCTAAGAAATACTTTTTCCCTTCGTTCCAAATGTAAGAATTTGAGATAGACCAGAGGAGTGATACATTTAATGATTTAATGCGTTTGAGTTGTTTTCTACAGTCAAGCTTTAGAAAAAAGTTCATACGAGACAACAGAATGGGGCAGGACCTGTTAATTTCAGTTTCTTGACAGCAGTCTCATTTTGAGTGTGTTTTGTTTTCAGTGGAATTTCACTTTTAACCGCTTTGAGGTGGAACCTGGCCAGACTTACCAAGTGACTGTCTACCACTTACCCAAACTGAGTGTAAAGGGAGACTACAATTGCAAGTCCGTGTCTCTCACAATGCCTGGTAAGAGATGCCCTGTTTTCCTTAGGCTTTGAGCTTAGAGCTCTGTTTTCTAGCTAATGGACCTGTTTTATTGTTTTTCTTGGGTGTTTCTTTTTCCCACAAAGTAGGCCCATGAACTGTGAGCAAGTTTGGTAATAAAGTAATAATAATATTTTTCAGCACCAGTGCAGCTGTGTTATACAGAGAAAGGGGGAATCACCGTGTGATACCGGCCTCCCTTAGGGGGGGGGGGAGGAGTCAGTGAGAAGAGACCTGCCCAGGGTCACTGGTCTTCATGAGAGCTGGTGATGCAATGGGAGTGGAGCCTGGAGCAGCAGTGTAACACTCCCGCACGTACAAAGGCAGCTCCTAGGGGGAGGATGAGTGACTGGGAGTGTGCTGGCTGGGATGGGCAAACGGGGAGGGCATGGCACAGCAGTCTGAGCATGCACAGGGCAGACTGCTTTCTTCTTATCTGGGAGCACTACGATGCAGCGCTCTGTTGAAACAAACAAAGTGACCAACTGTCACAACAGTCAGGCTGAGGCAGAAACCCATACAGAGGGGCCACAACTTTTCTGGGCTGACACGTGCATCCAGATGAAGCACCTGAGAGACAGAGCTGCCTAGACCTTCAGTTGCATGGAACTTCAAGACTCGAGTTCCCCAAGGGCCTGAAAAAGAGAAGGGTTTCATGGGTGCAAACCTGCCCAGCTGGATGAACTTTTTGAGCAGGTGGCTAGCTTGCGAGAGGAAATCACCAGGCTGATATGTATCAACTGGAGAGAGAGAGGTTGATGCTATCATGCAGTGACATGGGCAGACCAACAGCACTGTCTTAAGTACCAGAAACGGGAAAAAGATAAGCAGGCTTCTAACCTTGTGGAGAGAGATGGTAGAAACATGCAGGATGAGGGAGACTAGACCCTACCTAGTTGCTGTTTAGAGCAGGAGGAGGAGCCTTCCTCTGAAATTCCCCTAATTAACAGATAAACAGATACAAACCTTTTAGAATAGAAGAAGAAGATGTGGATAGTCAATCCACAGTCTAACAAATTTTAGGTACCTGAACTTTGATTTCAAAGGTATAGTTAGATAAGATTTACCAAGAAATTTGATAGAGCTGACTGCTTGATGCTTTCTTCTATATAGGAATGTTTTCCTATGACTAAGAAGAATTTGTTTCCCTGAAGATGGGGAGCATCTTCAATGCTCTGGCTGTATTAGCTACTTTATAAATACATTCTATATGTGGTTTAAAAACTGGTTCATAATTTCTTTCTTGCTTATAGTTGGCAGTATGACTTTGCAGTTAGAAGACATGATGTAGATGGTGTGGCAGTCAGTGTGTGCTGAAAAAAGTGAGAGGGCATTCAGTTTTCAGCCATCCTATCCTTATTGTATGTGGTCATACTGAGCTCTTCTGGTTTTATCCTCCTTCTGTTCCTCAGAAACCTAATGCATTGTGTCAAGGTCAGCAACTGCAGGGAGCTTTGCTGATTAGACCATACTTTGAATTACAGGGGCCTAAACTTGAAAGATGGAAACTTAAGATCCATAATTTTTTCTTTCAGCTGTTTAAGCAAGCAGTTGTAGAGTTCTTTTGATTTGTATTCATGCCTTGGAAGAGGGTTATACTTTAGGCTGAGAACTGTAAATTCCACATTGCTAAATGTTGAATGCATAACTCTGTATTAGTATTTGAAAAAGGTCCCAAAGAGGCCCTGGCCAGTCTGCTAAATTAAGCTCATAGAATTATAAAGAAGAAGAGAATTTGGGTTTCAAAGAAGACACCAACCTACTAATGACAGAATGTGACAGAATACTTTTGAAGGAAGTTATGGCAGTGGTGCTTTCAGTGCAGAGATCAGTATGAAGCTTTAATTCTACTATGACCCCGACTCTACCAAAGCCCTCTCTCAGAAGGAGCTGTCAAGTATTATTGTCATTATAAATACTACATGTTTTTTAGTCTTTTCTTTGTTAGTATCTCTACAATGAAAAACCTAGCATCAGTGGAAGGACTAGTTTATGCATTGCAAACTGATACTTCTCCTGTTGAAATTTGCTGCTACTTTGGAGCAAAGATCTACTTATCAAGGTGTGTCTCTGGCTTCTGCTAAGAAAAAGGGTATTTCTCCTAAACAGCAGTACAGTGTTTCTGACTAGTCACTGATGGTGTGTTTGTCTTGCAGATTGCAAGGACTCTCTGATGAAAAGAACCACCCCATGTGTAAAGACAGGTAGGAATTTGTCAGAGGCATGGATGTCCTGTTGAAATGCTTTTGACATTTGAGAAACTTGAGAATACTTCCACTATTTCCAGGCAGCCTGTGGGAGCCCAAGATCCAAGCTAAAAGTCTAGATGATATAACTCTGCTTGTGAGCTTTAACCCATGGAAGGAGCCAACCCGATACCAAATTCATGTGACCAGTTTCCTGAATGAGAGGAAGTGTAAAATGATCACACGTGATGTCACAGAGGTAATTACCTTTCTAAAAGATATCAATTATATCTTCTGTGGAAATTTAGACAAACGTTTCTTTAACAGTTGTTAAAGGAGTTGGAGATGTAACGCATGCACTTGCACAGCAATTTCCAAGTTCTTTTCAGATTATTATCTTGCCTTTGAAAAAGAGAAATTTCTATCAGGAACTTGATGGTTAGAAGACCAAAAAGATGTTCTGAGAGATTTGTTTTTTAATGTGTGAGGCAGAGTGTAAGCACCTGCAGTGGAAATGGAATTTTGACCTACGACTCTTCAGCCTTTATTACCTTTGTCAAGCTAGCACCTGGGAGGTAGGACTAAATAAGTTAACCAAAACCAAGGTACAAAGCTATGATAAATCGTTGAAGTAGTTCATTAAAAGTGATGGTATGGGGAGAGTTGGTGGTTTGGTTGTTTTTTGTTTTGCTGGGTTTTTTTGTGTTTTAAGAACAAGACACTCATTTGTAACAGGTGTTTCAATTAAACTGTCAATCAGTTCCTCCAGTTCTTGTGACCTGTGTGCTTGAGAAGCACAAAGCAGATGCAAAATGCCTTTTGGCGTAAAAACCCTCCCCTTTCAGGCATCTGATGGAAGAGAGGTACTGAATATTTGTTACTAGTCCCCACCCTTCCTGAGGGCAGGGCAGGTAAACTGGCATTCAGCTTGCTTAATTGTTCCATTTCTTCCATACTTGAAGTTTTTATATTCCATGTACCGATGCGTGTCATGTTATTACAGCAGGTACAGCTGTGTGCACACTTTCCAGACAGAGATTAATAAACTTCAGTTTGGAGTATATCTTTGCTGAGCAGTGGAAAGAACATATTTATGTTATTATTAAATTGATGAATTCTCAACAAAGGACAAACTTCTCTGTTGTGGTGCCAGTGGCAGCAGTGTTGACAGCTTTTTTTAATTAAACACATGAGAAACACACTTTAATTAAACATCTACACATTAAATAACTTAAGATAGTAACATTGTTAACTTAAGCTTACAGTTTCTTAACATATTTAAAGTTATGCAATGTACAGATTTGTTTCCTGTTAACTTGTGCAACCTCAGTGTGCTATCTTAACAGTGTTACTATGTCAGTCACACGTGATGGTGGCCAGACCTTTTTTAACAATAATTGGAAATGTCTGTGTCTTTGTAATGCTTTGTATTCTCTGCTCAGCTTCTTTTCTTTTTTCCTTCTTTCATTCCATTTTCTTCTCCTGTCCATTAACTCATATCTGACTTTTGCAGGGCGAACTGCAACCACAAGCAAATGTCACAATCAAAATGGAGAAGAACTTGAAAGCTTGCTGCAACTACAAAGTACAGGTACAATCTCACTGTTGTCTCTATGTTATTCCTTCCTCAGCAAGGCAATGCGTAGCTTAACAATTCTGTATTTTTCACATGGTGTTTTGTTCTGAGCTATTACCTACATCAGGGAAATAATGATTATGGCAGAAAGACTATTTTATAAAGGTCTTCTTTGTAGACAGTGGTTTTTCCTTAGTGTAGAGTTGCCAAGTCTGAGTTTAAAGTGGGAATGACAGGTGCACAACCACAGAAGCTCCCTGCCTTGTTAATTCATAGTGAGCACTGTAAGAATTCTTGATTAATTTTGTTTTCAGAAGGGAAGTGGGAATTCTGTCCCCCTGTGGTAAAGTAAAGGGAATGTAGGGGCAGAGGGGAAAGTCAAGCTGGAACAGAATTGCTTTTAAGAATAGCTTTTGTTTTCTGAATTTATTTTGCCTGCAGATTCAGCCATTCTTTGCCATCTGTGGTACAGACTGTCTGAGGCACTCTACTTTCATCCCATGTTCACCAGCTCCAAGTGAGAATTTCCATTTCTCTAAATTAGCTTCTCAATATTTTGTATGGATGAGAACTGAATTTTAACATAACTCTTGTCTTTTGCAGGTGTGGGCCCATCAGGTAAGGTCTCCTAATACCCTGAATCATCTCTTACTACTTTTACTGTCATTTCAAATAACAAATGATCCTCCCTGGCCCAATGCTGGGAAATGTCTCGTTGTACCACTGAGATCAAAATGAATTGTATTACAGTTACTTCACAGCTTTAAGAAGGCATAAAACATAGAGAGCATTTTTTTGAGATACTTGCATAAAATTCCTTGAGAAATGCTTTTGACAAGACGAGTCTTAATATAAAATACTTTCTGTCGCTTTGCCTAAAGTGTTTTTTTTTAATTATATAATATTAAGCAGCTTTTGGAGAGAATAGCTTGCATATATTCATTTCTACGGATGTCAAGATAAATCACGTGCATAATGGTTTGACATCCTTTTTTGGCTGCAGTGACACCTGATTTTAAAAAAAGCACCTGTAGTTTGAAAAAAATTCCTCACCCAAAATGTGAAAAAAAAAAAAAAAAAAAAAAAAAAATTTTTTTGAAAGATGTGAAGATGTGCTATGCAGAACAGGCAGGACGTGGGCTGCGTACCTGTCGAAGCTGGGTAAACATTTCTGTGTAGAGAGAAAGATCATTGGTCTGTGTTTTCTATGTGTTGCACATACAGTTCTTTGTAGAACAAGTTTGTGGTGCAAAGCAGCATCACAAAAGCAGGATGTCGTGATGAGTGACTGTGGTGTGGCCTGTTGTAGGAGGGAAGTACTGGATTACCTGTAGTTTTGGGCAGAACTCCCCCTTGGTCCCCGCTGCTCAGCAAACTTCTGTTCCCAAGTGAAACTCTGTATTTGTGTAAGCAATGTCTGCATGCTCTTTTTGTACTACAGATGATATGATGATATGGGTGTACTGGTGTATCACTGGGATCTGTGTGTTACTGGTGGGATCAGTCATAGCAGGTGTCATTTGTATGACCAAAAAACGAGCAGGTAAGACTCATACCAAGTAGAAACAAAAGACTTGGTGCTAAAACTACTTTTCCTATGTCTGTAATTATTCCTCTGGTTTTTTTCTTCCTACTTTGATGTACTGCCACTGAAATAATGTCAACGTAAATACTTTCTTCTGATCTACATCATGGGATTTGTAAGATCTTAATGCTATCCACCTATCTAAATAAAGTCTTCAATGGATTATGCTGTCTGGTACTCCATTTTCATATAGATCTTCAGAGCTCGTGAGGGGAAAAAGAAACTTCATAGTTCAGCCCTTCGATTCCCACAGATTGCTACAGATATCCTTTCCATTTATTTTTTCTCCTATTTTATGCAGGAGTTTTACAGGACAGAAACTTCCCATTTGTCCAGACCATAGTCTTCTGTTCCACCCAGAGTCTCTGCAAATTTCCCTTTCTTACTTTTTTGAGTTTAAGTAATGTTTTTCTTCTTCCACATTCACTGAAAAACACGACACGAAAAATATTTGTTGCACAGACTGGAGAAGTGAGTGATTAAGAGCTAATTCCTGGTCTATTATGCTATTACCATGGAGCAGTTATCGCAGGAGCATGAGTGATGGGAAATATTTTGGAATATTTCTTAATATAAAATTGATCTGTAACATGTATTTAGGGACATTTTAGCTAGCTGGGTAAAATTTTAGGTAAGCCTCTTAAGAAAATGCCATCTCTACAGCATTAAAGAGAGGTAGAAGAATGTTTGGGGGTTCTGTACTCCTCAGATCAGGGGAAGATGAAGAAAATTGGTTTTGTGTGCATCTCTTCTCTCCATGGAGAAATGTAGAGAAGTAGCAAAATTGGTGGATACAAGTCTTCATTCATTTAGTATATTTTGTATTAGACTTTTTCTTCCCTGGGTCATCCTTCTGGTCCCTGTTGCCTTCTACCCCATGCAGTTAAAGATTTTTGAATGTGGCCTTTGGAAGGGGTTGATTTTATTTTTTACTTTCAGTACTGACAGTGACTTTCTCTTTCGTCCAGGACACCGGCGAGGAAAGTGTAGCCACTATGATTTGCAGACTGGTAAGTTGTGCTGCCAAATACATGTAATGTATTTTGGTAGTCTCACAAGTGTTCAGAAAGGGGCTCTCCTGGACTCTGCTCCTCTGTAGGTGCTTCTCAAAACCAAAATGTGGCCTTGGGATCTTCCTGGTTAGTCAAAAGACACTTTGTAATAACAAGTAGCATCAGACAGAGAATATGCAAGTTGGAATGCCATCTTTGGCAGATGGGAGATAACTGTTTTGTAAAGTGAGTGACCCAGCTGAGGCTGTGCTGGCAAAAGAATCTTTGATCATCTAAGCAGTAGCAGCAGGAGATTGTTCTGAGGTGCACTGAACTCCCCAGCAGGGAGCATAGCTGCAGGTGCGAGCCTCTTGAAGCCCATGTGTTTTACTTTTGTGTGATGAAATTTCAGAACTACCCAAAGGTCAATATAAATCACAGTTCCACTGTCAGGACTTTACTATAAAATTTTTACAATAGTGTGTTGTCTCTGTATGCTGCCAAATTAGCTTCAGAACTGCTATTTAGTGTAACCTTTTTTTAATGTTCTCCTATGTTGATTGCTACTGGTTGGCATCGTTACAATGTCAGGGATGTGGTTGGGATTAATATTTCTGTCTTTCAGCAGTACCACCTACCAGCCTTCCTCTACCACCCTTAAAGCCTCGAAAGGTTTGGATCGTGTATTCCGCCGATCACTTGCTCTACGTGGATGTGGTGTTGAAGTTTGCTGAGTTTCTGATGACTGTCTGTGGCACTGCTGTAGCCTTAGATCTGCTAGAAGATCATCAGATCTCAGAGTTTGGGCCATTACCCTGGCTCACTCGACAGAAGAAGGAAATGGAAGAACTATCCTCAAAGATCATAATCTTATGCTCACAAGGCACCCAGGCCAAATGGCAAGCCATGCTTGGGAGCGCACCTGTGTGTCTCAAGCAAGATCAGCAAAAGCCAACTGGAGACCTGTTCACCCCAGCCTTAAATTTGATCCTGCCAGATTTCAAGAAGCCAGCCTGTTTTGGAATGTATATAGTCTGCTATTTTGATGGGATAAGTAGCGAGAAAGATATTCCTGATCTGTTCAATGTCACATCCAGGTACCAACTGATGGACAAGTTTGAGGATATTTATTTTCGGATTCAGGACTTGGAGAAGTTTGAGCCTGGGCGCATCCATCGAATCCAGGAAATCACAGCTGAAAACTACATTGATACCCCTAGTGGTAGGAAGTTGAAAGAGGCAGTTGAGAAGTTCAGAAACTGGCAGACAGAGCACCCGGACTGGTTTGAGGCTGAAAGCATCAACCTGGATAATGATGAAGAGTTGCAGTCCCTAAACAGAGAGAGCCAGGTGGATTCGTTGCTAAGTGAACCAGGTGGAATTGTGAAACAGCAGCTGCACTTACGAGAACCTGACCCTAACTGCTGTTATGTCGTTAATCTCCACATTCGTGAAGGTGAGAACAGAGGTTGTATACTACAGCCTCAGCTTAATCTCTGTGGAGATCCAGCTTCTCAGACTCTGATTGATCCTTTGGATGAGGCTGCTCCAGTTCAGAGAGTAGAGCCAGTCTCTTCCATGGAAGACAAAAATATTTTTGGCCATCATGTGCTGAGTAATGAGGACTGCATGGAAGGAGTTCATCTTCTGGAAACAAGTTTTCCAATGAGGAATGACATCATCCTCCATGATGACTGTGATGTTTCAGCAACAGATGACCAGAGTCCTGCAAACCTCTCAGGTGAACTGAGGCACCATCTGAATGGGCTTATGTACTCTCTTTATCAGCAGAGTGTCATTCCTTCAGATCCATGTTTCTGCCAAGAAGAGGCTGAAAAGCAGCACCAGTTGATCTTCGAAGACCAGTGCAAAGACCAAAGACAGTCAGTGCAGTCAGACCAGGGTTACATCTCTAGGTGTTCTCCTTTGCCTCCTGATGACCCTGTGGAAGAGGAAGAAGAGGATCAGGAGAATCAGGTGGTTTGTCATGAACTCTCTCCAGAGGTCTTGAACAGTCTAAAGAGCCTCCAGCAGCAGCTTTTTTTCCAGGACATTCAATGGAGCTCTGAGTCAGGATATCCAGCAGAGCTGATGAAGATGAGCCCATCTCCAGAGGACTGTTAGGCTCTATCTGGGACCTGCTCCATCTGAAATACACAGATGGAAGGTAGTATCGCATCCAGCACTGAAACTGCATTTCCAATGCCATCCTTCTCCTTGTATTACATGTGACTAATTGGTGGGATCTTCCTGTCTGCTGCAGAGAAGCAGGGTTGCCCAGCAGTTGATGAACATCTCTGCTTCTAATCTCTGTGTAGAGAGAAGCAACAATACTAGCCATCACTGTGACTGAACATGCAGTAGTTCTGCTCCTGGGGGACATGTATCATATTGAGCCCTCACTGCAGAAAAATAACCTTAGCTCATCCACTAGTGCCTTCAGAACTCCCTCCAACTGTAATGATTTTATTGCACTGGACAGAAAACAAGGCCAAGAATCAGATTATAGAATTAGAGTGGCAAACTTTTCATCAAACCAGTTTGATGGGTTTTTTTAATATATATACATTTTTTTTTTTTAATAATGTGTTTAAAGATGTGTGCCTTAAATTTCAGCTAGGTTAGGACTGTCTCTACATAGTCACATAATGGGTTAGGTTGGACCAAATAAGCTGTGGAGGTCTAACACCCAAATAAGGCAACCTACAGCAGATTGCCCAGGCCCATGTTCAGGTTGCTTTTGATTATCCCCAAGCAGTGAGACTTCACAACCTTTCTGGGCAACCCTGTACATTACTAGCTGCACAGTAAAGAAGTGCTTCCTGGTGTTCAGAAGGAAACTCCTGTTTCTATTTGTGCCTATTGCCTCATGACCTGTCACTGGGCACCAATGAAAGGAGCTTGTCTCTGTCCTTTTTTGTACTCTCCCTTTATTTATGCACGTAATGCCTAGAATAGGGCAAGAAAGAATGGCCTCAAGATGTGTCAGGGAGAATCAGATTAAGGATATTAGGGAAAAATTTCTTCTCTGAAGGAGTGGTGAAGGATTGGAACAGGCTGCTCAGGAAAGTAGTGGGGTCACCAACCCTGGAGGTGTTCAAGAAACGTGTAGATGTGGTACTAAGGAATGTGATTTAGTGGGCAGTGTTGGTGGTAGGTGGTGATGATGGTTGGACTAGGTGACCTTTGAGGTCTTTTCCGACCTTAATGATTCTGTCATTCTACATAGGTAAGATGGCCCCCAACCCTCCTGTAGGCTGAACAGACCCAACTCAGCCTTTCATTGTAAGAGAGGTGATGTAGCCCCTTAGCCATCTTTGTGGCCCTTCATTGGACTCTGTCCAGTATGTCCATGTCTCTTCTGCACTGAGGAGCTCAGCAGTGAACACAGTATTCCAGGCATGCCTCCACCAGTGCTGAGTAGAGGAAAAGCTTTATCTGCTCGCAGTGTTTTGCCTAATGCAGCCCAGGATACCTTCAGCCTTCTTTGCAGCAAGGACACGTTGCTGGCTCATGCTCATCTCAGGGTCCTCTAGGATTTCCATGTCCTTTTCCTCAAAGGGCACCTAGCCTGTCCTGATGCTTGCAGTTGTTAATCTTAAGGTGTGGGGATTTGCACTTCATGTTGAACCTGATGAGCTTCCTGTCAGCCTGTTTCTCTGGGCTGCTGAGCTCTCAGAATGGCAACAAAGCCTTCTGGTGTATCAGCTGCTTCTCCCAGACTTGCGTATCTGTGAGCTTGCTAAGGGTATGCTTTACCCCATCATCCAGAATCACAGAATGGCCAGGGTTGGAAGGGACCTCAAAGATCATGAATCTCCAACCCCCCCCGCCACATGCAGGGCCACCAACCTCCCCATTTGATACCAGACCAGGCTGCCCAGGGCCCCATCCAACCTGGCCTTGAACACCTCCAAGGACGGGGCATCCACAGCCTCTCTGGGCAGCCTGTTTCAGCACCTCACCACTCTCTGTAAAGAACTTCCCCCTGACATCCAACATAAATCTTCCCTCCCTCAACTTAAACACATTTCTCCTTATCCTGCTGTTATCAATCCTTTCAAAGAGTTGATTCCCCTCCTGTTTGTAGGCTCCCTTCAGGTACTGAAAGGCTGCAATGAGGTCACCCTGCAGCCTTCTTTTCTCCAGGCTGAACGAGCCCAGCTTCCTCAGCCTGTTTTTGTATGGGAGATGCTCCAGTCCCCTGATCATCTTCGTGGTTCTCCTCTGCACACTCTCCAACAGCTCCCTGTCTTTCTTGTACTGGGGGTTCCAGACCTGGACACAGTTCTCCAGATGGGGCCTCACGAGAGCAGAGTAAATGGGGACAATACCTCCCTGTCCCTGCTGGCCACCCCTCTTCTGATGGAGCCCAGGATACCATTTGCTTTTCGAGCCAGATCCTTAATGAAGATGTTAAACAAGATTGGAGCCAGTATTATCCCCTGGAGTACTCCTAGTTACTGCTTAGTTAGACTAAACCACTGATTGCCACCCTGTAGTCCTAGCCATTCAGCTAGTTCTTTACCTGCTTTTGAAGTGTGTTAAACCGTCTTGTACTTCCTCAGCTTGTCTATAAGGATCTTACGAGGCACAGTATTACTGAAGATAATTACTGAAGTCTTAATGAAGTGCAGGAAGGTGATATCACTGCTCCCCTCTCATCCCAGGTTGATCATTTCATCATATGAACTCATCATAGGTCAAGCATGACTTTTCCTTGGTGAAATCATGCAGACTACTCCTGGTTTTCTTGCCCTTCATGTGCCTGGGAATGGTTTCAGGATGAGTTCCATCAACTCCCAAGGGATCAAGGTGAGGCTGACCAGTCTATAGATGCCTGAGTCTTCCTTTTTGTCATTCTTGAAGATAGGACATTTGCTATCCTCCATTCTTTAGGCTCTTCTCCCAGTTGCCATAGTCATTCAAGGATTATCAAGAGGGGCCTCACAGTCACTTCTGCCAGCTCCCTCAGCACTCACAGGTGAATCCCAGTGGGGGATGGGATGGCCGCGATTGATGAACATCCAAATTGCTGATGTATTCCCTGACATTATCCAGAGCAGAAATGAGTGTGAGATGTTCTTTGTGCGAGTATAGACACAAGCACAGGTATTGCAGGCTAACCATTGTGAAAACACCCTCAATAAGAGGTTATGGAGTTGATCCTGCCAGAGCAGTGATGCTGTCAATTCCAAGATTGAGCTTGATGCACTAGGAAGACTTATTCCATGCAAGTGATCCTCTATTGGCCCATGTAGCACTGACTGAGTAGCGGACTAGCTGGAGCCAGCATTTACTGTAGGTATTGTCACACTTTCTGCAGTCTGGCCAGCTGGTTACAGTTCATGAGATACAAGCACCTCCAAGCCTTTCTGCTTTGTGTTCAGACAAGTTTGTCATCTTCCTGCCCTTCTAAGTTTACTTGTCAAGAGATTTTGAGATCATGTTATTTTGGCTTTTTAAAAGTCTGATATCTCAAAAGATAATCTGCTCATTTGACTTGCAACCAATGTTTTATTATGTATATTTTATACTTTTGTTTATGACTTGTTTTTTTCCTTAAATTAAAAACAGGAATGCTTTTGGATATATTTACTTAAATACTTGTATGTCCTCAATTCTGCCTTAATTGTTAGATAAGGATTTCTTCTGGCAAAATTGAGACAGAACCAGAACCAGATCAGCTGGCAAGCACCAAAACATGCCTGCAAGGGACACCTGGGGACCTTGGCATGTGTGGGAAGAGCATATACCTTCCAAATGGGCGTTACAGAAGTTGAATGCATGTCATTTCTGCACGGGGCCTGGACAGTGAGGCAGAGCTGTCAAGAAACACTGGCTGTCTCTGCAGCAAAATGCTCAGAACACTGGGTACTGCATGCAACCAAACTTGAGATACTATCGCTCTACAGCTCCGTGAAAGGTGGTTGTGGCAAGGTGGGGGTTAGCCTCTTCTCCCAGGTATAGGATGAGAGGTAATGGCCTCAAGTTGCATCAGGGGAGGCTCAGGTTGGATATTAGGAAATATTTCTTCTCAGGAGTGGTGAGGCATTGGAAGAGGATACCGAGGATGGTGATGTGCCTGGAAATGGTCAAGAACCATGTGGATGTGGCACTGAGGGACATAGTATGGTGGACATGGTGGTGATAGGCTGACATTTGGACTGGATGATCTTAGAGGTCTTTTCCAAGCTTTCTTATTGTATGAAAATTGGCACTACCTTAGAGTCCTGTCTGCACAGGACCTAATCCACTGGGAGCTAAGCAAGTAGTAGCTGTGAGCTCAGAGTTTCTCCAGTGGGAACTCATTTCTCAGATTGTATGAATAATTGCCATCTTGCTGATCCCAGCTTTTAAAATTTCTTTTATCTTACAGTAATTAGCATTTAAATGATATGGTTTTTTTTCCCCATGAGCTCTTTTCAAGTGGTATACACTTCTGTGAATCATCTAAGTAGGAAGCTCAGAAGTGTCATCTGGATTTTTTTTTATGTCTTCATTATTCCCTTCTCAAGTAGTCCCCTTGGTGTTGCAGCTTTTAGAATTCACTTTCACTTACAAGAAGTTTGTTTGAGGGGAAAAATCCAGACACTTTTAGCAACCAAACATGAGGAGAGCAAGTAACACTAATGCATCTGTTGGTCCCTGAACGCAAAACTGAAGAGCTCAGCAAGACTCAAAAGAGGACAGAATCAGTCACAAGTTTCTAATTTTATTTTAACAATCTTGCTTTTTAAAAAATACAGCTTCTGATTAATGCCAGGGGGATGCCAAGTGTCCACTGGCCGCAGGCCTCATCTCTCACTTCTTTTTCCCATCCTGGGAATAGTCTTTTTTGTGAGCAGAGCAACAGAATGCTAAATAGCTGAGCTCTGCTACAAGCCTTGTAACAGGACCCCAAGGGGTGTATATTTTCATATGGCACAACTTGATATTGCAAAGTGTTATTGACCTGGACCAGTAATTAATGTTGGGCACAAGATAGTAGGCGTGCAAGGTGTGTTGGGTGAGGTATTGTTTGCTCTTGGACAGCACTACTGTCCCTTTCTTCTGCAGATAGATTTGTTGTGCAGCAGAAGGGTCTAAATGGACGTGAGAGCTCAATTAACAAAGAGAAGGGAGTTTAAAAGGTGGGGCAGGCTTATGAATGAGAGACTGCAGAGCTTTAATTGCTTCTCTGTAAGTAATTGGAAGGTAGCACTGCCCTCCAGTAGATAGTTGCATGGGGGCTTCTGTACAATCAGCTGCTACAGAAGCTTCACACATCCCAAACAGCACATTTTCTAACACCCTATAAGTAATGGGGCTACAAAGAACCACTTTTTCTACAGAGGAATTTGATGCGACAGCATCATCATTTTGTGGTGTCATCTGCCCCAGGTAGTTACTGCATAAGGGGACAAATTTGAAGTGTAATTTCAATGTAGTCAGAGGTTTGAATATGCCATGGCTACTTAAGTTTGCAATACGCCATTTTCTCACTAATGTCTTAGATGGAAAAAGGCACTCAATATTGAAAGAGCAGCTGTGAGGGGGTACTGAATAAGTAAGATGCATTAGTAGTAATTCTGCTGTGATTCTTCCAGTGTCTCAGCTATGCTTATTATGCCTGCGTGTATTAGGGATGCTCTACTCACTGCGGTGCTATTGTGAACCACACCATAGGAACAGCAAAACAGAGCTGGGGATGAATAGCTTTTTCTTTCTTCACTGTATTTTTGGCACATATTACGCTCATTTGACTGAAGCATGGAGTACTCCTAGATGCAATGTCTTCTCATTCTCCCTAAACAGTACTGCAGCTCTTTCTGAGCTTTAACTATTTGTATAATGCTGGAAAAGGCAGGTGCAAGGAAACCAGCCTCTGCATAACCCCAACAGACCTGCGACTGCACCCCTTTGCCCTGGACAGTAGCATCCCCTAGACACAGCTCACATCACATAGGAAAAGTTCACAGTACTTAGTTTTACAATCACGGTCACTCACAGCACCAAGATTGTCCAGACAAGAAGGAATTACTGAAGAGAAGGCCACTGGCCAAAATTCACACAAGTGCCCACCTGAGGTCTCAGGTTAAAAATAAAGCACTGGTGGGAAAGTTAAGCCGAGTCTGTGCTGGCTCTGTTTGGCAGGGGGAGAGCAGCAGGTCTACGCTCTCAGCTCGTAGCAGAGCAACGCTGTCACCCCGTTGTTCCTGAGCCCTGGAGGCTTGTCGGCCACCTGAGGGCACGTGGTTCTGCCGGGGGGGAGCTGGAAGTTGGCACTGCTGTAAACATGTCTGCTGCATGAAGGGGCTGGAGCCCTGGAAGAGGCGGGTGTGGGCAGGACTGGGCCGTGCCTGCGTCCTGCTGCTGGCTCTGCGGAGGAGGCGGTGGGCTCTTTTGCCCGTTGCCGTCAGGACAGCTTGAAAAACGGCTCTGGACAGGAAGCCAATGACAGCAGCCTTGGCCAGGGAGCGAAAAAGAGGCCTGTGGGAGCCTAAGGTCTTCTTCCAAACATGGCCTCTGTGCTCCTGCTTCAGTGCAGCCAGATTGGGGAGTGGCTGGAGCCAGGCTGAAGAGCAGGCCGCAACCCACCCCACGCATGCATGGAGCTTAAAACCAAAGATAAGTGTTTCTATGAGACAATAAGTACAACCAACCGCTCCCCCACCACCCTTAACCACGCACATCTGCAGGGCAGGGTGCTGGAGTGTCCTGCTCTGTGCTCAGCCAGCACAGGCCACAGGCAGCGCCCAGCCCCGCACCGCCATTTGGGAGCTGCCCTGCTGCTCCCTCGAACAGATGTGGGAAAAGGTCAGGAGGGACCTTTCCAGCCCTCCCGCCCTACACAAAAGGAGTCCCTATGCTGCATAAAGGAAAACCAACACTGATCCCACAAACATGCATATTCACAGAGAAATGAGCGCCCCAACAAGCGGGCGCTGCTGTCTGAAGCCAGCAGGAGGCTGCCTAAACCCTGTTCTCACCAGAAGTCAGTGTCTCGGTGGGAGCAATCCCCCCGACTGTGTCCATTTTGGATTCACTTGTTTCTTTAGTGCGTGAAGTCAACGTAAGATGCCAAAGGTTGAAGCACAGAGGTAGACATTTACAGCTCAGAGGAAGTGGCTTCAAGGCTTGAAATGAGCAGATGGCTGGCGTGCTTCTAGGTGTTCCCCAGCTGCTCCTCCCCAGTCTCCCCAGCTCTGCTGGGTTGTGGGGGTGGCTTTGCGGGACCGGTGGAACCCAAGCATGTTTGTTCTTGTTCTGCACGCACCAAGAAGGCACATCTCTGCTGCTCGGGCCCCTCTTGCATCTCATCGCTGGTCAACAGTTGTTCCTGAAGGACTGGGGAGTGTCTGGTCCCTGTTGGTTAGGGGAAGAAAAAAAAACCAAACCTTTATGGTCACAATGCAACACAATGTCTTGGTGGGGAGTTGGAGGGGAAAGGGTGGGGATCCTCCAGGCAGTGTGGAGGGGCAAAAGCACAGAAGAGGATCCATGGTGAGGGGCAGATGTGTTTTCCAGGGGTGAAAGATCGGCCATGGACTCCTGCAGGTAGCAGGCTTCACATCTAGCTTCCGCTGACGGAATTGTCTATAGGACAGGGAGGGCAGCAGGAGTCCGGCAGGGTGTCCATGTCCTTCCCACGCTTGGCCATAGCAGAGGGAACCTGAGCAGAAACACAGAGAGACTGGCGGGGCTCAGCAGGCTCAGCCCTGAGCAGTGACAGCCAGCGCATTGACGTAACCATGGGGGCCCACATCAACGTCGGACAGCCCGTGGCCCAGCGGGGCGGTGGAGGGGGGCCCGGCAGCAGAGCCATACTTGGAGGGCGGCAGGGTGGCGGTGGGGTGCAGGAGGCAGCAGGTCTCCAGAGCCTCCAGGCCACGGCAGGCCAGGAAGAAGAGGTTCTTCAGCATGAAGAGGGAGAGCGGCTGCTGGTAGCGCAGGAGCAGTAGGCAGCGGAGCGCGAGCAGCGGCGCGTCCAGCAGCCCGGCGGGCAGCAGCAGGTGGAGGGCGAGGCGTGCGGCTCCGGGCGGGCGAGCGGCGCTGAGCTCGTAGAGCCACAGCACCGGCGAGGCCAAGCAGAGGAAGTAGACGGCGATGAGGAGGTAGCGCAGCGGGGCGGGCAGCGGCGCGGGGCGGCTGGGCTGCAGCACCAGCTCCAGCAGGGAGAAGCTGTCGAGGAGATCGAGGCAGGTGGCGAGGAAGGCGGCTGCGGCGCGGTGCTGCGGCGGAGGCTGCGGGGGCAGGAGCAGCTGCCCGGAGCCCTCGGCGCCGATGGCCCGCAGCAGGCAGTAGAGCAGCGGGGCGGAGAGCGCCAGGGTGATGCGGAAGCCGGTGGTGCCCAGCGGCAGGCGCAGCTCGATCAGCTCCAGGATGGAGGTGCCCAGGATGAGCGCCGCCTTGGGCGTGAAGGCGATGGA